AATATTAGAAATAAATATGAGATAAGTTTAGCAAAATTATTATTACTTATAAAGTTCAGTTCAAAAAAAATTGTACACAGTAATAAATTATCAACCTTAGAAGTAGTTCAATGTTCATACAATGATATTATTTAAATTTTCACACATTGAAATAAATTGCTTTAATGTTTGCCTATACTTTACTCCTTAATGTACGTCTTAAATCTTAGTACCCATTTTTATAATGGCCTCTTCTGAATTACTTTTCAAGCTTAACCTATCATATTAGTGACGTATCCAACCTCTCAAATAATATTCACTTTTGAATTATAAAAGCAACTTTTAATTTTAATAAATTTTCTGAGGGTAGTAGTTGTTTACAATATAAGTTACACACAATAATTATAGAAAATCAGAGAAAATATTCTTTTAACTTTTATTGAGTTATTATATGTATATCATTAATATATTCTATAGATAATTTTAAGCTAGTAATTTTGGCGATGTCTTGTTCGTTGTGTGCACAAAAGACAATGTAATGATAAGTAGAAGTGTTATTGTTATAAGTAACTTATAATTCTATAAAATATTAAACTTTAAATTTAACTGTAATAAAGTTTAATAATATGTAATATTAATTACAGTTATTAAATAATATTTATATGCATACCTATTATAGTTATTGACTTAAGTTTAAACCATTGTAAATTATAATGTTTCTGTTTTTTCAGGAAAGAGATTTCGATAAGCATGTCAATTATTGTCAGACAGAACCAGAAGCACAAGAATTTTTGGAACGCAATTATGAAGTAAACGAGTATTTTGAGGTACGTAGAACTTAAATTTTGTTTTTATCAAGAATACTATTATTCTTATTTGTTATTTATCTTGATGGTTTTAATACCCGTAAAATATGTTATACTATGTAATTTAAATGTTCCCAAGGTACTTTATTTCTATGTAAACATTGTAAACATATATTCTGTAATCTGTATTGACTTTCAGTATGATGATTTTTAAAATACGACATTATAGATTTATAGCCCATACGAGATTATAATTTGTATTTTTTTCAATTATCCGTTGCACAATTCTATTATGCGAGCTATTGTTATACGTTATTAAGATATTATAAGATATCATTAGCAGGATTTAAGATAATCTTAAGGAGCTCAATGCCGATGCCATTTTGTCCTTAAAAATACACTCGGCGGGAATAACGATACCGTGCCTTATAGAATCAACCAAATTTCATAGTTTTTTTTTTTTTTAATTGCTAAAGGGAAATATTCTACAGCCCTCATCGATCTCTGTTTTTCAATCTTTTATTCTCAAACTTCATAATATGTCTAAAAAAATACAAGATAAAAAGCATTTTTTTACAAATGTTTTTATACTATTATCTATATCTATATATATAAAAATGAATGTATGTGTGTCTGTCTGTCTGTGTGTCTAGTAGTGTCCATAGTTAATGTCCATAGATAATGTCATGATAATGTCGTTGGTAATGCCCATAGATAATGTATATGGTTATGTCCATGGTAATATCCATCGGTTACCAAGGTTACCATGGGTTTTGAAGCTATATTATAATAATAACTATTGGTTGCCGGGCAACGAAGTGCACGGGATCATTTGGAAAAGAGATGGATTAGACTTCTGGGCAGAAAATAGACTAATTTAAAAAGGAGAGGACCAACCCGGGAGGTGTTCAAACAGGAATTTTTTGATTTCCAATGGAATTTTTTGTTTATAAATGGTTGCCATGGGTTTTGAAGCTAATGTAATAATAATTGGCTTAAAATTGTTGTTATGGTAACCGTTATATTATAAAATAAAACAAATTATTCATATTATAGAATTGGTATTTTTAATGGGTAGTAGATTAGTGGAAAAGTCTTATAATTGAGTTGACAACTAAAATATAAAATTTAATTTTCAAACTTTATAGAATAATTGTGGACAATTTGAAAAACTGGCACCGGGACCCTTAAATCTAATTTAAAATCGTGTTACACAGTAAGACTATATAGATTGTATATTATAATCTGCCATCTGTAATAAGACTATCTATATCATGGATGTTTAATGTGTTAAATATTTATAAACTAAGAATTAAAAATCGATTAATATAAGCAATATTTGCTACTTGAACAATCACTTAATATTTATTTTATTAATAAATAAATAGTGAGCTAGGTCACTTAAACATTATTTGGTGGCTTACGATAGGTCCAATACATTTTTAGCAAACTATTAAATGAATACGTTTTTATGAAACCTTACATAATTATACAAGTACGTCTAAGATTGTTTCATAATCTAGAAATCGGTGAAAACACAATACTTGTCGTTTATTCGTATTAACTATCCAGTGACGTATTTAGGAATTTGTCATGGCGAGGGTCAAGATAATTTTCAGAAAACAGAGTCTGGGGGGGGGTCAAAGCCTCCCACACCACCCAATTACTCTTTATTAAATAAATATACCATATTTATAAGACGATTAAAATTTTTTGAGTTTTTAATTATAAAATAATAATACTATGTACAAAACAAATTTAAAAAAAGAGGGCTAGTGGATGTCGCTCTGCTGTACAGTAGGTACAAGTGGTTCAATGTATAATGAATTGTATTAAAATTCAATGCAATTATATAATATCATTGGATAAGAAAAACGATTCTGAGCGGAGACGGTTTGTCAGTCTGGATATTTTATGTTGTTAGTATTTATTATAACCTGTAAGTTGAATTAATATTGAAAGTATATTAGATTCTGAGCGGACCGAGGAAGCTATTGGTTTTACAATGGTGTTTTTTTTTTTATATACTGTATACAAAATTTCTACCAAAAGGAGTGCTTCGATTTCAACATATTATAGTAGGTACCTTAAATTTTAGCAAATTGGATCAAGATGCAGGTACTTTAGAGAGGTCATTTTTCGATTTTCTCAATAGTTATTTAATGCCATGGGAAAAACCACCGTCAAATTACGAAAAACCACTAAAAATGGGATTTTAATTTCTTACGCTTTGTTTATCATCATAGAAACAAATAAAAAATAATAAAATTATAATATTAATTCAATTTACACGATATAATAAATAATAACAATATAAAATATCCAGACTGACAAACCGTCTCCGCTCAGAATCGTTTTTCTTATACAATGATATTATATCATTGAATTCAAGTTTAATACAACCTTTATACATTGACCCAATTGTAACCTACTGTACAGCAGAGCGACATCCACTTACCCACTTTTTATTTTATTCGTTTCTACGCGGTGATAACCTAGCTCGCCCCCCCCCCCATTTTCTGCTTTTGTACGATAGTACATCAACATATAGGTTTAAATATTTTGTTTACCAAAGTGGTATTTAAGAGTAAAATTTCCCTCCCTCCCATGGAATTTACCTGAAGACGCCCCTATGATAAACAAAGCGATAGAAAATAAAATCCCATTTTTAGCTGTTTTTTGTAATTTGTTGGTGGTTTTTCAAGTGGCATTAAATAGCTATTGAGAAAATCAAAAAATAACCTCCCTAAAGTACCATCTTGATCCAATTTTCTAAAAGATAAGATACTACATATTGAAATCGAACCACTCCTTCTGGTAGAAATTTTGTAAACAGGATAAAAAAAAAAAATAAAACAATAATCGCACCATTGGAAAAATACTAGCTTTATCGCTCCGCTCAGAATCTAATATAGTTTAATAGTTATGTTATAACTTATAACTTTTATAAAAATATTTCCTAAAATACATTACTTCATTCATTGTTGATCTGAGATAACTTTTCAACCTTTTTAAGGTTGAAAAATATCTCTGGAGTGACTGTAGATAAGTTGCCAAGTAAAAAACTACAAAATATTTGAATTAAAAAATTAACTCGGAATTTTTCAACCATTTTCGGTACCAAACTGACAAAAAAAAAATCACGATATATTAATTGAAAATGATGATAACTGAAGCTTCAAAATGTTTTTAAAAAATCCTTCGTATTGTATGAAAAATTTGTTTTCTTAATCATGTAAAAACACAAGATTGAACATATACCTACGAGACACGAGTCAATGGGAGGGGGGAGGGACACTTCAATAGTACCTATACAATAGTTGTAGGTACCTACCTATTCTATATACAATATATAACATTTTAATTTATAATAATTAATATTTGATAGATATACCTGATTAATATTTATTTTTTTTTATAAAAATAATTTATAAAACAAAATATATTTTAATTCCATGGATTTTGTATTAGAAAAAAAATTAACATAAAGATACTATTATTTAAATTATATAGCCTTAACGTTTGCTTCAGTTGATGTATTCTTAATTGTTGTTTGCCAAAATCAGTAAAGTATTTTTTTTTTTTTAGTACCTATACAAACCTCAACCACACTCTCTGCCCCTAATATATAATAGCGGTTCAGTGGCGTATTTAAAATTTTTTCATGGTGGGGTCTTGTCATATTTCCATCACAAAGATGTGAGATACATATATAATCCGATGAAAAAAAATAAACTTTGCTATGGATCAATGGGGGAGGGGGTCCTGATTTGCTTGAGCCAAAATTAAATTCATTTGTGAGCCACCCTAAAGTTACATAAGTCATAACATAAAGGTTGAGAAAATAATGTATTTCACAAAATAGTTGAAGTCAAAAATATATTATTACAAAATAATATAATTGTAGCCAGGTACATAGAGGTGACTATAGGCGCCAATTGTAGATTGATTCCGAGTAGCGTAACAATATTAAAACCTGATAATTTTAATTTTAATTACCAATCAGTTTGGATCTTAATTGGGTAAGGAACACAAACGCTATGTAGAAATATATTTCTCATTTGAATATTTTATTTGACCTTACAATTATAATTTTGTGAAGTATTATACTGCAGTGTATACGGTTGGATATAAAAACTATTTAGTATTGGCTAGTTGCCATTTGCAGAATCCTTTTGCTGGAAATAGACAGTATGATATTTCTTAAGATTTTTATAGTGCAAAATACCACAAACCATTAAACACCCACAGAAATAAAAATCATATATTTTTCGATAAGGATTATATTTATAAAATAAGTTAAATTATGATAAGATTAAGTTAGGCCATTAATTAAACATGAAAATTGACCTATTAAGTGATTGGTTTTTTAATATTATTACTTATTACATCCTATTGTTGAATTAATTTTTTTTGAATAATCCAAAATGTACGTTCTCTAATATTCAATAGGGTAGGTGCCAGTGTTGGGTAAGTTACATTACTCGTTACTAAGAAATAAATGTAATTAAGTTACTTAACTCGTTACTCAAATAAAATTGTAATGAAATTACTTTACTTTTCAAATAGAAAAGTAACTCATTACTTTCTCGTTACAAAAAACATTTTTTTTTAAATTTCTTGGCCATTATCTTCTGTAGGCAAATTGAACAAGCAAATTCTTTATAAAACCTGTATAGTTAATAGGATCGTATAAAACTTAAACACAAGCTATTCATAGGAAACCTTTTTAAAGGAATCAAATTAAATAATACATTTAATTAACTGTTCTCGTGATTTAGGTGCAATATTGGACATTTCAAATGTCAAAACCATTGAAAAATGAATTGTGGCGAGTTAAGATTAAATATATATACATAATAGATTAGTGAACATAATAATACCAGCTTTATACAGATATTTTTTTTCAATTCGCAATAAGTAGGTAGGTACTTAATAATTCGAAACTGTAACTCGTTATTTTATAGAAATTACTTTTCAAAAGTAATTTCCATTACATTTTCGTTACTTGGAAATAATTTTAATTAAATTACGTAACGCGTTACGTTACTACCCAACACTGGTAGGTGCCAAACATAAGTCATAAGTTATGGCATAATTCAAATGTTTAAATGAATAAGAAGTACCTGTCTTCAGATCAAATAGCGTTTTGTGTTGTTTTCTAGATTTTATTAATTAAATGAGTAGATAATAATATTATGTATTAATGTTTTTGTTTACTATTTCAAAATAGTAAAAATATCATTGTCAGAATTATTGCATTTCTCGGATGTAAGTACCTGTAAAAGAAGAGTTTAACTAAACTTAAGCTTTAAGCCTCTAACCAATCTCCATGTGGACGATCCTTAGTCGGTAGTCCTTACTATAATAGATACTACATAACAAATAATTTCAAAAAGAGCTGGCCAAGTGCCTGACCTTCGTTATCTATGCTGCCACACTATACTCTTCCATTGTTGATAAAAAATGTATAAAAATTGTCTTTAAATATGCCGACTGACATAAAATTAGGCCATTTTCTGTTAAATTTTTCATTAGTCCGTGAACGAATTTATATTTTATATTTTTTTATATATATTTGTAAGAAGGTTAACGTAGGTCTAACGAACGAGGAAAGTTATTTTAATATACCAATGTACCATGGGAGTAGAACTGTATAGAACACACTAAGACGTATAATTATGAACAGCTTATGTTGTGCTTGTTGCAAATATGTAGATGATGATTTAGTTATTTAAATTTAAAATTTAAATTCATCTCTCTCGAGAGAGAGTTTATTTCCAACTACCATGAACTCGTGTAGCTACGATTTGTTAATAACTCATTAGTAAATAATTGATTATACACAACTCAAATGTGTTTTCAAACGGTTTGATGTACCTACCGTTAAAATATTCAGTATTATTGTACTTACCTAATTTATTACCAGACTCATCGTTGATAATTTATTATGTTAATTATTGTATTTGATTACAACGAAAACTATCTATATCCCGTAATAGACCATTGTGGATGTTGAAAATGAATACATTTAATGTTAAAATTAAAATAAATGTGAACAATTAATGGTAAAGAAATATTGGTACAGATTTCTGTGAAGTATAACTAAAAATACCTTTTGTAGGCGATTTAATATCCACTAATGATGGACGCCACTGGCTTTTGGCAGACTTTATATTATAATAATAGGTATAATATAATATATATTATGATTATGTATGTATATTATAGTAGTACCTAATAGCTAACTACAGCCTGCAACTGTTCTCTGCAACTGTGCAAGCCACAGTTCATAATATGATGAAAAATAATTGAATTAGGTAACAAAAGTTTATATTTTAAACAGTAAAATGATTAGGTCAGGAATACTAAACGAGACACTGGCTTTCGATTTTGAGCGTTAATTGACAATAAAATATGATAAAATAAATATATTTTACTTTTTTAAACAAACTATGGAGTAGAACAAAATATACAAAATATATATTACATAATATTATATGATGATAAGTATTAAATATTTATACGGAAATCTAATAAAAAATGTTCGCAGTTAATGTTTATTAAGTCAGTTAATTTCTGCAGTGGTAATTATTGGGAGAGGGAATAAATTAGAAAAAAAATTAAATAAATATAATATCCAAAATATAAAATTAAAAAATATTGTAAATTGCTTCTTTTTTTCGGTACATATGTCATATATACAGTTACTGTAATGTAATTGTGATTTAATTTATATTGTATATAATATTTGTATACTAGATGATTTTATTCAATTTAAAAGTATAACAAGTTTGAGATCGTTTATAATACATGGCGGTATTACAATTGAATATATCTTGTCAAATAATAATTAACCAAATTAATAGATCCCAGGGCAAATGGTGTGCGATTATTTATTTTTAAATCGCGCTATTTTAAATACATATTATAACGGAAGAGCTATGAAGACTACTTTTTATTTATACATACAACGCTCACACTTGTTGTGACGATTTCCTGAAAATTCATCAGCAGTATATTTTTACACTGTCTGTTGTCAGGTCGAAATTCGGTCACCAGTGAAAAAAAAGTTAACTATAACATAAAAATGTTCACTTTTTGTTTCAATTTCAGGATGAGCGATTGAAATTTGGAGACGATAAAGCTCTTTCGGAACACTTGAAATTGCCGATACAACGAATTAACGATTATCAATTACTACTCAAGGTTAGTTGTTATTAGGCTCTTTACATAATTTACTCAGAACAATTTACATAAATAAATAACGTGATGCCTGCAACGATAAAATACATTATACAAGATTAATAAAATAAAATTGTTGGTTACAATTATAAGTTTAAAATGTTTTTAATAAATATTTTATAATATATATAATTTCATTTCATTATTTTCTCAATGAAAAGTTGGATACAAAATATTAAATGTAGTTGTATCTTGTATGAATAATTTTTGTTTCCATATTTTCGTATTATTCACCTAGTTCTAATCTTAAAATTGTCTACTGAACTTTTATATTGTTTTTATTCTCATTTACTACTTAATTTCGGAGTTATTTTACGAGTTTCATAAATTGTTTATATGAACTTAAAGGCGTACCTATGCCGTATATCTTACACTTTTCACTATATACTATATATATATTGTGTAGGTATTTAACATTTTTAGCATTATTGTTAAATTAATAGCGTTCTCCCCATTCTAAGAATTTAAAATCCACCTTAACCATGGTCAGGGATGTGGGACGGCGGTTGTACAGCTAATAATTTAAAAACATTTTTCCGTATTACTCAAATATTTTAATAAAGTGGAAAATATTTCCTTAAATTATTTTTGTTAGTTTCTTTTGCTATAAAATTTATGGAAAAATGTTTAGTTAATATTTAACATTAATATTATACATATTTCATTTATTTAGGAACTAGTGAAATATTCATTACTCATAGGAGAAGACACTACTGACTTAGAAAGAGCTCTGGAATTGATGCTATCAATTCCACACCGATTTACCGACACGAAATTCTTAACTAATATAGAAGGATTTCATGGCACTATACATAAACTGGGCCGATTATTAAAACACGTAAGTGGACTACGTCATTAATCATCAAAGGTTTATAAATATCACCGAAGGTCAAATTTTGTATAGTCAGTGTTTTTTTCCTATATATTTGCAACATGTGTTTTTGTGTGTTGTTTTATAATTGAATAGTGAATCGAAGGATTCATACCTCCAATTCATAACATTTGAGAACATTTTACATTTTATTGGAGTACACCATACATTATACTATTATTACAAAATTACAGGGATGGTACTACGTACAAGACGCCGAAGATCCTAAAGGGCATCAGCGCTATTGCTTTTTATTCAAATCTAGAATCCTTGTCTGTAAAGTTCGTCGAATATCTGAAGACAAATCTGTCTTCGTACTGAAGGATATAATTAGAGTAATATAGTAGGTTTTTAAGTAAATATATCAAATTATAAACAATATTATTTTTTCTCATACAGTTACCTGAGGTTACTGTAAAAGCAGCTCCAGACAACAAGCGTGTATGGGTACTTCATCATAGACTAGGAGATGTTGGAAATTATCCATTCACCTTTAGGGCTAATGAAGATTTAAGTCGGGATCAGTGGATTACAGAAATTGAAGAACATAGAAACGATTTACGTAAGTATTGAATATATATTATTTATTTATAATGGCAATTATATTCTAATTTTAATAGAATGAATCAATTAATATTATACATTAAAGTAATTTAAACATTAAAAGAAAATTTTATATAATGGGATTATCGGTTAAAAGGTGAAAAAGAAGATTTACAAGACCAATTTTGGGAGAGAGAATACGTTTCTATAACAGAAACTTCTAAATCTTCTATAACAGGTTCATAAAAATAAAATTACGCTTATGCTTGAACTGATTTTGAGTCAATAATAGGTACAATTAAACAATTTACAAAAAGCTAAAATTTCTGAAAAAAATTGCTTCTAACTTGACCCATTAAAAATAAATATTACACGCGCTTTAAGCTATTAATTTAGTATGGATATTAATACGCTGCACTTGCTTCTATTTTTACCGTAATGTTAATTATAAGTTTTTAGTTAATGATTTTATATTTTAGTGACAAATGTTGAACATAACAGTGACGATATCAAAGTACAAAAACAAAAGGATGAAGATTTATTTGAACCACTTAAAGGCATCGAATTAGATATTTCTTCAGAGATTGAAGAAGGTTTAGATCCCATTGAAAGACGATTAGCACCGAAACCGTTGAAACACGTTGAAGAGCCAAAACGTCCACCACTTACACTTCCACCTAAAGAACCAATATTTGAATGCACATCACCACCTGAACCTAAGAAACGACCAGAACCTGAGAAAGTTGAAGGTTAGTCTATGTTTGAATTAATAATTGTATTATATTTAATCCCCATCGAAATTTAAGTGTGGTTTATGCCTTATGAGTTAGGTATGCCTAAATAAAATTACTATTATAACATAAGTATACCTACGCTTTTTGTACATTTTTGTGTTGTGCAAATTGTATAATATATCTTTGGAACGTAAGCAAACTACCTAATTTATAGCAAATATTTATATGATCATTTTCTATATACTTATGATATAATTTTAAAAATATTATGCTCTACTTATGCTATTTATAGACATACGAATTTCGTCTAAATATTTTGAAAATTTCATAATGTAAATAAAATTATTATTTTAGTATTGAATAATGATGGAATGTTTCAAACTTCTACGAATATAATATTTTTAAAAGGTAACAAAATAAAAACTATCGTTTGAAGAAAACCCCTTATTAAACGTATGAATATTTAATTTTGTCAAATCTTCAATCGTCATAGCAAAATGATTAGATCTTTTGATAAACTGTTTATTAATTTCATATAAAAAAAAAGGTGGGCAAGTGGGTGTCGCTCTGCTGTACAGTAGGTTACAAGTGGGTCACTGTATAATGGATTTCAACGATATAATATCATTGTATAAGAAAAACGATTCTGAGCGGAGACGGTATGTCAGTCTAGGTATAAGACATATTATATACATATCTATGGTACTAAACCAAAATTTGACCTATAATAGGTACCTATAATAAATTCCAAATTAATCATATCAGTATATCACAATATCCATTAGGTACTTATAAACATAGGCGCACATAGGGTGTAAATTTAGGGGGTGCTGGGATAATTTATGGTTCACAGATCCGTGGGGGGCTTTGCCCCCCACACCCCCATACTCCTAATATTTCTGCATTGCATTAGATTTAATTTGTATAGTGTATACAATAATTTCTAAAGTGCAATGTATCAAATAGTCTGTATGATTCTAAAGAAGACGCTAGGTACACCTACATGTGTTGTCTCCGTATTACAGACGTAGGTACAACATAGGCAAAACTGTTTTGCACGGGTATAAAAAACATTCAGTCTCTACTCTAAGCTAAGAAACTAAATGTTCACACTATAAAAATGAGAAAATTTCCTCTGTAACTTTGTTTTTTTTTTTTTCCGGGGTGCCGCCACTGGGTGACTTCCCCCTCCTGTTTACCAAAAATCATCACATTTACTTATTGTATCACTTGTAAATACAGATTGTAAATATTATGTTTGTTCAATAAAAAAAAAAAAAAAAAAAAAAAACTTTGTTTTTATATTTCCGATATCAAAATGAAAATAAAAGTTATTTAAGTTTGATAAACAAAAAAAGGTGCTCTGCTGTACAGTAGGGTACAAGTAGGTCGCTGTATAATCGATGGTATTAAATTTGAATTCAATGATATACTAACATCATTGTATAAAAAAAACGATTCTGAGCGAAGACGGTTAGTCAGCCTATGATATTACTAAGTATATTTGATGATACTAAGGTGAATAAAGCAATTTATATATAACCTATTTACGTAGAATCTTGTTTTAAATTTTCAATCATTAGCTATAAAAGTTGAACATTTTATAAATTTTTAACTATAAAATTATTATTAAATTTTAAATGTGATAAATTTTGTCAAAATTTGAATTTTAAATAGGTAATTATAAAAAAAAATTGTGCCTATGTATTTTTAATATTTTTCAAGTGTTATTGTAACAATATATCAGGAGCTTTGCATTAAATTTTCAAGCTTTTTTACCATACAAATACAATTTTATTGATATGAATAGAAAAAAAAATTAAAAAAATTGAAAACTGAAAATGTCCGTAAATAGCTCAAAAAGAATCAAAATATTTTGAAAACTATATGGTGTATAGGAAATGCTAATATAAAAATTTAGTAAAATGTTCAAGTATCTACAGTCATTCGTTTTTTAATTACAACAAAATTAGAAAATCGTTACATGAGAAATCGAGTGAATATCAAATGTTGTAAATATATGAATTTCAAACGTTCATAAAAATTTAATTTGAGATTCTTGTAGACATTTTTTTTTTGATAAAGGTAGAGAAACTTATGAGGAATCTTGCATTACATTTTCATATCTTAGATTTAAAAAGAAAAATTTTTATGAATTTCTAACACGAAATACTTTGCAAATTTTCGTCATTTTCACGTATTTTGTCAATATTTGGAATTTAAATGCTTATAACAAAAAACTGTGACTAAGGATTTTTAATATTTTTCATCTGTCTTTGAAACAATTTATTAGGAGCCTTCTATTAAATGTTTAAGCTTTTATACCCAACAAATAAAATTTTATTGATACTTATAGAAAAAAAAACTAAAAAAAATGGAAACTAAAAATGTCCGTAAAAAGCTCAAAATAACTCAAAATATTTAGAAAATTTTATCATGTATAGAAAATGGAAATATAAATAACCGGTGAAAATTTCATATATCTACGGTCATTTGTTTTAAAGTTACACTAAAAACCAAAATCAATTTTCTCGAAAACAGATTTTGCGTAAAAATTCCCGTTTTTCCTTAATTTTTCTTTTGTTTTTCACGGCGCTTTTGAAAACTACTGTGAAATTTTTGCTTTTGACACTTTTACTGTCCTAAAAGATGATGACAGAAAAAAAAAAAAAAAATGAATTCGTGAATTCGTAAACAGTTGTCAATATTTGTAATGAAAAGAAAAATTCCGAACCAATAAACCACGATAGCTTATAAATGATTGGTGAAATCCTGAAATAAACTGAGGGTGCTAGTTTGATGCTTGGGGGTGCTAAGCACCCCCAAGCACCCCCCTATGTGCACCTATGCTTATAAAGCGTTATACATCAACAAAAACCGTGATACCATCATAGATATATTATCTTATATTATATAATAGTACACTTTAGAAGTTTCAAGTACCCACGAATAATATTATTCAATCACAACAAAATAACTAAAATAGTTATTCTAGGTTTTTTAATATGTAATTTCGTCCAAATTTGAATTTAAAATGTCTGTAAAAAATAACTGTGTTCATATATTTTTTAGATTTTTTGGTTACAGTATGAACTATTTATCAGAACTTTTGTTTTAAATTTGCAATCCTTAGCTATAAAAACTGAACATTTTATAATTTATTAATTTCAATGATTGATAATTTTCGAGATTTTGATAAATTGTGTCAAAATTCGATCTTTAAATGCTTGTAAAAAAAATCGTGCTTATGTATTTTTAATATTTTTCAATTGCTATTGTAACAATAGATCATGAGCCTTGTATTAATTTTTTACACTTTTTGGCCCAACAGATAAAACTTTATTGATATTTATAGAAAAAAAAACTAAAAAAATTGAAAACTGAAAATGTCCGTAAACGGCTCAAAATTGTATGGTGTATAGGAAATGCTAATATAAACATTCAGTCAAAATTTTCATGTATCTACAGTAATTCGTTTTTGAATTACAACAAAATAAGGAAATCGCCACATGAGAAATCGAGTGAATATCCAATGTTGTAAAAATTTGAATTTCAAATGCTCATAAAAATTTAATTTGACTTTCTTATAGAATTTTTTTTTTGATAAATGTAGGAAATCTTATAAGGAATCTTGTATTATATTTTCATATCTTAGATTTAAAAAGAAAAATTTTTATGAATTTCTAACTCGAAATAATTTGCAAATTTTCGTGATTTTTCCATATTTTGTCATTTTTTGAACTTTAAATGCTTATAAAAAAAATTGTGACTAAGGATTTTTAATATTTTTCATCTGCTTTTGAAACAATATACTAGGAGCCTTACACTCCACTCTTTTGAGCTCCACTCAGAATCTAAAAAACACAGAAATTATCGTCAAGTATTGGATGTTAAGGCTAGGAAATTTACAAATTTTTAACTAAAAAATAATTTATATATTTTCGTGATCACCTGCACGATAAAACAATAGTTACGATTTTATAAAAATTTGAACTTTTAAAAATATCGTTATCTATAAGATATTCAAATTTACAGTAATTTTTATTTTAGATTCTGATTGGAACGATGAATGTATTGATTTTACAATGATGTGTGTTTTTTTTGTGTTTGTCATCACGGTTTGGGGCAGTAAAACTGATTCGTTTTTCTTCAACATTATCTTATTCGATGAGAAAGTGAATCTAGTTGGTGCATTCTGGAGGTCAAATTTTAAAATTCCCAATAGTTTTCAAAACATAAAAATTAAGGAAAAACAGGAAATTTACGTGAAATCGGTTTTTGACAAAATCGATTTAGGTTTTTGGTGTAACTCTAAAACAAAAGAAAGTATATACATTAAATTTTCACTGGTTGTTTATGTTTGCATTTTCTATACACGATAAAATTTTCAAAATATTTTGACTTGTTTTGAACTGTTTGGAACATTTTCAGTTTTCAATTTTATTAGTTTTTTTTTCTATGAACGTCATTAAAACTTTATTTGTTGAGTAAAAATGCTTGAAAATGTTATACAAGGCCCCTAATATATTGTTACAATGACATTTGAAAATTATTAAAAATCCTAAGTCACAGTTTTTTTTTATAAGCATTTAAAGTCAAAAAATTGACAAAATATATAAAAATCACGAAAATTAGCAAATTATTTTGAGTTGACAATTCATAAAAATTTTTCTTTTTAAATCAAAGATTTGAAAATGTAATACAAGGTTCCTCATAAGTTTGTCTACATTTATCGAAAAAAAAATGTCAACAAGCAAATCAAATTAAATTTTTATAAGCGTTTGAAGTTCATATTTTTACAATATTTGATATTTACTTCATTTTTTAATTTTTTTTTTATTCATAAACGAATAACTGAAGAAATATGAAAATTTTACTGAATGAACATATTTTCATTTTCTACGCACCATAAAATTTTGAAAATATTTTGACTCTTTTTGAGCTGTTTACGGACATTTCAGTTTTCAATTTTTTAGTTTTTTTTTTTTCTATAAATATCAATAAAATTTAATTGTTGGGTAAAAAAGAGTGAAAATTTAATGCAAGGCTCTTGATAAATTGTTACAATAGCAGTTAAAAAATATTAAATATACATAGGCACATTTTTAGATTCTGAGTGAAACGATGTATGTATTGATTTTACAATGATGTGTGTTTTTTTTTTAATTTTTTTTTTTTTTTTTATTTTTTTTTTATTTTTTTATTTTTATATTTATTTTTTTTGTGTCTGTGTACACGATAAGTAGTCGAAATAATGCTTCAATTTTCGACTTCAGTATCTTGTTCGATTGGAAAGTGAATATCGTTGGTGCATTGGGGAGGTCAAAATTTAAATTTCCCAGTAGTTTTCAAGAGCGCCGGGAAAAACAAAAGAAAAATTAAGGAAAAACGGGAATTTTTACGCAAAATCGATTTTTCAGAAAATTGAATTTGGTTTTTGGTGTAACTTTAAAACAAATGACCGTAGGTACATGCAATTTTCACTGGTTGTTTATATTTGCATCTTCTATACACGATAACATTTTCAAAATATTTTGATTTATTTTGAACAGTTTAGGGACATTTTCATTTTTAGTTTTTTTTTAGTTTTTTTTCTAGAAATATCAATAAAATTTTATTTGTTGGTTGCGAAAGCTTGAAAATTTAATAGAAGGCTCCTAATATATTGTTTCAAGGGCAGATGAAAAATATTAAAAATCCTTAGTCACAATTTTTTTTTATAAGCATTTAAAGTTCAAAAATTGACAAAATATGGAAAAATCACGAAAATTAGCAAATTATTTTGAGTTAAGAATTCGTAAAAATTTTTCTTTTTAAATCTAAGATTTTAAAATCTAATACAAGATTACTCATAAGATTTTCTACCTTTATCAATAAAAAAATCTCTACTGGAAAGTCAAATTAAATTTTTATGAGCGTTTGAAATTCAAATTTTTACAACATTGGATATTCACTCGATTTCTCATGTGGCAATTTCCTTTTTTGTTGTAATTAAAAAACGAATTACTGTAGATACATGAAAATTTCACTGAATGTTTATATTAGCATTTCCTATACACCATACAATTTTGAAAATATTTTGACTCTTTTTGAGCCGTTTACGGACATTTTCAGTTTTCAATTTTTTTAGTTTTTTTTTTCTATAAATATCAATTAAGTTTTATCTGTTGGGCCAAAAAGTGTAAAAATTTAATACAAGGCTCCTGATATATTGTTACAATATCAGTTGAAAAATATTAAAAATACATAGGCACAATTTTTTTTTATAAGCATTTTAACATCGAATTTTGACAGAATTTTTCAAAATCTCGAAAATTATTAATCATTGTAATTAATAAATTATAAAATGTTCAGTTTTTATAGCTAAGGATTGAAAATTTAAAACAAGATTCCACGTAAGTAGTTAATTCTCTTACCGAAAAATCTAAAAAATATACAATCACAGTTTATTTTTATAGTCATTTTATGTTCAAAACCTAGTTATTTTGTTGTGATTATATAATATTATTCGTGGGTACCTACTTGAAACTTCTAAAGTGTACTATTATATATATATGATAGTATCAGGGTTTGTTGTTGGTGTATAACGTGTTATAAGTACCTAATGGATATTGTGATAATGTGATATGATTAATTTGGAATTTATTATAGGTCAATTTTTTTTTAATACCATAGATATGTATATAATTTGTCTTAACCTAGACTGACATACCGTCTTCGCTCAGAATCGTTTTTCTTATACAATGATATTGTATCATTGAATTCAAATTTAATAGCATCAATTATACAGTGACCCACTTGTAACCTACTGTACAGCAGAGCGACATCCACTTACCCACCTTTTTTATATTAGCATTTAAAGTTCAAATTTTAACAAAATTAACAAATTTAAAATTTAATAATTATTTTGTAGTTAAAAATGTATAAAATGTTTAACTTTTTAACTAAGGATTAAAAATGTAAAACAATGTTCCACGTAAATAAATTACTTTATTCACAATAATATCATCAAATATGCTTTGTAATATTATGGGCTGACTGACCGTTTTCGCTCAGAATTGTTTTTCTTATACAATGATATTATATCATTGAATTCAAATTTAACACCATCCATTACAGTGACCTACTTGTAACCTACTGTACAGCAGAGTGACATATACTTACCTACCTTTTTTTATTTATGAACTCATGAACAACCATTACATCATACATTAATCGAAAAACATTAAAAATTCGAACATATTTTAATTTTTATCAATAGCACAAAAAAAGGCAAAATATTTTGAAATGTAGGTAGTAATTATATAATATAATAATTATTATGATGTCTAAAAAATATTAATATTTATAAATATTTGGGGAAAATCGGTATTTATTTAGAATTACAAAAAAAAATCGATTGTCGAAAACATGATTTGCAAAAAATGGTCCAGTTTTTCCATAATTTTTGTTTTATTCAAAAGGTGATGACAGACCCGAAAATAATAATAAAAAAAAACCCACACATCATTACATCAATAAAATCAGTAAAATCAAAACATTCATCGCTCCACTTAGAATCTGAAACGGTTTGCTACAGGCGCTATAATGTGGGAATACCGAGAATCATGAGGTCCAATTTAATGTATTCAGTGAGATGGACAATTTTAAGAGGGGAGGGGAAAAGATCCCGTTTTTGGCCACAGGGGTGCACGTTTGAAATTTTTAGACTTACGTCGTTTCTACAAACCTATCACAGTCTAAATGAGTGGTTGAATATGTTATATGTCCACATTGTCCTGGATAGTGGACTTATCAGTCAGCCACAATTAAGTATCTTTACAATTAGGTGGGTAGGTTAGGTTTTGCACTCAACATTCTTTTATATCAAAATTTGGATTTTTAACTATTCGTTTAAAAATATTTATTTTTATTTTTATTGTTATTATTTTTTTAATTCTTTATTTTATATCAATTAGTTTATTGTAGTTAAAGTTTTATGTTGCCCGTATTTTATAATTGTAATGTATTTAAGCATTGTGGCCTGTAGAATATGTGATAACAATAAGTGTCCTTACATTTTGTTCTACTCTCTGAAGATTCATGTTTGGCCCTTTCTTAAGTATAATTAATTGGTTCTATAACATACGTTTTCTACATTTTTCCATTCTAGAACATTCGTTTTCTAGTAATTTTCTAAGACTTTGTATGCTTCAACAAACTTTTTTTTCAATTTCATCTTTCTATAACTAAAACTAAATGTTCTAAAACTTGATTTACTAAAACATTCTTTAAAATCATAAGTACATATTAGGTTTCGAATGTACCTCACGTCGTCGCATGATTCATTAGTAGCTCACGACTGTAATTGATGTGTTAAATATGCATTTTTATTTAAATCAATGTACCTATACAAAAAATGATTCTGAGATGATGTGCCAGATTCTATTTTTATGATATTTCATAATTTATTTTTATTACTATAAGCAGTTTTTTTCTATTAGTAATACAGGAGATACAACTAATTTTTGTCAATAAAATAACACATATTATATTACCTATTATTATTACATAAGCCAACTTAATAAATAATGTACCACATGGATTGGTGTGAATAGCTTAGTGTTATCAACATTTATACAAACATTATGAAGCCCGTACTCCCCCCCCCCCCCATTCATCGTAAATCGTAATTATACTTTTTGTATTAAAGGGCCTTCTAGTGTTTCTTTAATAAGGGCCAATATTTAGGTAATATGCAATTTTCTTGCCGACGACCGTGGCATTTGTGCTAATCGTAAATTATGATTAGTATGAGTGTGATTGTATACGAACGCAAACATGCGAATATATGCGCACATGTCAATGGCAACGCCGACCAAATATAAAAAGTGTGATATTTCACTCAAACCGCTCGCTTTGCAGGAAACTCTCACGTCTCTTAGAATTGTCTAATTTAATTAATCAATTTTTTTGTCAGAAATAGGATGATTTTCTACATGGCGAAATGGACTTTTATTTCGTTACTTAAAACAAAAATAATAAAAAAACAAAAGCTTGTAAAAATTGGTCATAATAAAAATCGTATTATATTATGGTTTATAAATAGCATTCTGTGCACTATGTAAGAAGTGTTTCTCTTTTCAAAAAAAAAAAAGTTTAGTGATTGATGTGTGTTTTCTATTAGCAGTCCAGAAACCCTTGTTCTGAATTGAGTATAATATAATATAGGAAAAGTCATAAGTAATTAAATAATTTTCAAGAGAACTATATTTAAAAATATTTGTATTTATAATACATTTATGTATTTGTAAAAATAATATCATAAATTCAAAGTAAAGTTTTAATATGTATTGTTATTAATATTTATTTAGAACCCCCTGTGATTGAAATGCCTGTTCCACATCAAGAGGTTATTGTTGAAAAGGAAATAATAGAGGAAGTGCCTATTCCACAAGTAGAACCAGTTCCAACGGAACCCCCTCCACCTGAAAGATCTCCTTCACCAGCGGAAGAAGAAATTGAATCAGAACCATTAAAATATATAGAAGGTGTTTCAAAACCATACTTTCATGTCAATATTAAAGGAACTAGTCGCGGAGGTTTGTTACCAAATATTTAATTAAATTATAAAATAAGTTCTCAAATGTCTGTATTTTAATACATTTTACTATTAATGCAATTATTGATAAAACTATATCGTTAAATGAAAAGGTGTTATTGAAGAGTGTAATGAATGGTGGGACACTAAGGGTGAATTTAAATCAGGAAGATCAATGAATAATGAATCTTCTCTCGCAGGTGATAAACACGTGAGAGTAACGCAAATTTAAATTTGTTTTTAAATATGCTTTTATTTTAACCAAAGCCAAAGTAGATTGAAAAATGTGTTTAAAATATCAAATGGTGTTCATCAACAAAATAATTGCTTATATACTTCATAATGCTGCATTATATAATATGTTTAAAGTAAAACTATTTCCTAATTAATATTTTACTTATACTAGTCGGGGAAAATGCAACATTTGAATGTGAAATTGAGGGTGCTACAAAAGTCACATGGTTGAAAAATAACATGCCATTACCAAATACTATTTCTAACCGAACTACTATAACAGAAGATAAAGAAAACTTTTTGTATAAATTACAATTAAATAAAGTAATAATGTCAGATTCGGGAACTTACACAGTTAAAGCTGAAAACGATTTAGGAGAGTCTACAAGTACAGCACTCCTATTTGTTGAAAATCGTAAGTCAATCTGTTTGTTTTTAAATGAAATAAACAAAAACTATAAAACTTGAATATTTTCAGTTTCAGCAGATGAAAAGAAAGCAAGGGCAAAAGCAAATGCCCCAATTTTTGCTGTCAAGCTAGCTGATACTGAGCTTTTAGAAAACACTCATGCTAGATTTATGATTGAGATAAAAGCAAATCCATTGCCTAAATTGAGATTGTAAATTACTTAATTATTATATTGTATTAATTTAATGTATTTCAATTGCTATTATATTTATTTAGTTTCAAAGGAGATAAAGAAATATCTGACGAAGACAAAAGAATACAAATATTAGAAGTGAATAAAGAAAAAGGACTCTATGAAATTGTTCTACCTAATGTAAAACCTGAAGATGCAGGAGAATATCGAGTGATTGCTAGTAATAAATACTCTGAGGAGTCATGTTCTTGTCATGTTACAGTTACAAGTATGCAATTATTTTATGTGATATATAAAGTTTAACATTTGTATAACTGTATATTTTTGTTTAGATGAAAAAGACTTATGGGCTGGAATGCAAACAGTAGTACCTGATGGTACGCCACATTTTACCTGGTTAAAAAATGGAAAGCCATTTAACCCAGAAGAACGATTTAAAGTATTATTCAAGGATGATGAGGATTCATTAGCCTTAGTGTTCCAAAATGTAAAACCAGAAGACGCTGGTTTATATACTTGTATTGCCTCTACTTGTCATGGAAAGATATCATGTAGCGCTGAGCTTAGTGTCCAAGGTATGATGAAATAACATACACATATAGTGTTATAAATTATAATAAATTTTGCCATTGTTTCGATACATTTAGTTAAAATTTCTATTAATTTTAGGTGTTGTGAAAGAACTCAATTTGCCTTATGCTCCGAAAGTAACTACTGACGTGAAAGAATTTGAAACCAAAATCCAAAGTACAGCCATCTTAGAGGCTAAAGTAATTGGTGATCCATTACCAGATATATTTTGGTTTAAAAACGATGAAGAAATACAAGAAAATGAACGAATAAAATGCATGTTCGAAGATGACATTGCAGCTATTGTGATAAAAAATGTTGAGGTTGAAGATGAAGGAGAATATAAAGTATTTGCCAAAAATGAATTAGGATCTGATACTGAAACAATTAACCTATTGATTAAAGCCGCTCCAAAGTTCAAAAAAAATTTGATCGACTATGAAGGTGTTACTGGAAAAGAAATCACATTAACAGTTGAGATTGAAGCATCTCCAAAACCAATAGTACAATGGTAAGATACTATACAAAATATTATATAAAAAAAAGTTTAATTTATCAATAAAAAATTATATTTTTTCTAGGTATAAAGATAGTAAAGTTATAAAGAAATCGAATAGAATAAAATATGTCACCGATGAAGTATCAGGAGTCTATACTTTAATTATTCAAGATTGTAAAATGGAAGATGTAGGTTTATATTCAGTTGTCGCGTCTAATCAATTTAGTCAAATATCTGATGCTTGTCGAATTAATCTTCAAATGCCTCCCCAATTTATTGGTGCCTTAGCCAAAGAGGTAGAAACTTTGGAAGGTGATTATGTATCATTGAGTGTTAGAGTAGAGGGAGACCCACCACCGCAAGTAAAATGGTAAAAACAATAATATTAACGCATAAGAAACAAATAAGTAAATAAATGTTTTGTATTTCAGGTACTTTGAAGACAAATTGTTAGTTGCTGATAAGACACATATCAAAATTAACGCTGTAGAAGACGTTCATACTCTTTTAATTAGTAATCTTACGAGGGAAGATTCAGGCAAATATACGTGTGAGATAAGTAATGAGTTTGGAAAAAATACAAGTGAAGGAAAATTGTTAGTCAAATGTCCACCGATTTTCGAAACGCCTTTAATTGATACAAAAGCAGTTGAAGGGGATACAAATGTAGAATTTACTATAAAATTGAATTCCTATCCTAAATCATCAATTCAATGGTAAAATAATAGAAATAAAAACATCAAATAATATTTAATTATTTATATTAATTTACTAGGTTCCGTGAGGAAGAAGAAATAACAGAAACAACTACAGAATTCACTTGTTTCGAAGATGGAGATAATTTCAAGCTAATTATAAAAGAAGCAAAAACTAAATTAGCTGGCACATATAAATGTAGAGCAACAAACGAAATTGGAACTTATGATTCAGAAGCCACTCTAACAGTTATGTGTAAGATATAATAGAATCAAACTAATGCTTAGGTATTTCGATGATACTTATATTTTTTCATTTAATAGCACAACCTACATTTAAAAAAGGATTAAGGGACATGGAAGTAACGGAAGGCGGAATGCTTAAACTACAAGTGACTTGTTACGGAAGCCCTATTCCTGAAATTAAATGGTTTAAAGATGGCAAAGAAGTACGTAGTGATGCTCACATCAAAATATCAAAAGACAAAAAAAGGGTGGAAAATTTTAGTCTCACTGTCAATCTTGTAAAAGTAGAAGATGGCGGAGAATATGAAGTTCGAGCCACTAACGAAATGGGGACAGCTATTACTAAGAGTATAGTAAATATTCTAGGTAAGTAACTTGCCTGGATATTTAAACGACAATTATGAAACCTATTATATTATGACAATTATTAAGTCTTGGATAAATACCAGGCATGCGTTTTAAGCATGTTTTCAAATATTAATCCAATCCATTGTGAACTAAAATTTTTAATTTTTAATTTTAAATGTTATCATTTTGCATGATCCTTGAAAAACTTAGCGAAACATTCAACTGATTTCAAAGATGATGATAATGAATCAGCTAAAAGTAAAAATGAGGATATTGAAGAAAATGTAGATAAAAAAGAAAAAGGTTAGTTTATTGTCCTAAATATTTTGTGTAAATAGAAGCTATTTTACTTATATAGCTGTTTACCAAATATGTGGGATTTTATAGAATAGAATAGAATAGAATATTATATATGCTGAAAGCTTTAAGTTGCTAAATTGATTTTGTAAACAAAATGACATACGAAAATGTTAAAAACAAAGTAATTACATTTATTAGTGACATTGCCAATCAAAATCAACAGAATGGATAGCACCAGGAAAAGATTAGTGGGAATAAATGTGGAAGAAGATAGAAAAATTGGTATTTCATCAATAACTAATATAGGTATGAAATTATTTACAGGAGTCATCAAGGGCATCTATGGTGTTCATATTACCTTCATTAAATTAGGTTATTGTAATTAACGCGTTACAGATGGTGATAGATCTATCAAAACCGAAGAAAGTTTAGTAATAATGAGCAGCCAGTCGGGAGAATTTAGTTGCGTGGAAATGAGTTGGGAAGAATCTTCTACTAAATGTAAAAACTACTATGGCATTGTAGAGGAGCCTAGGGATGAACGAATTATACCAATTAAAATAGATAGAAGTATATCAATACACACAGCTTCTGACGAAGAAGAAGAACCATTTTGGGTTGTTGAAAGCGTTAAAAAACACGAAGAAGTAAGAAATGAGATTAAAAAAATGAAAGAAAATAAAAACATTCAAGCGTCATTAGGAGATGGTTATGATGAAGACGACGATAATTCTTTAATAGAATTACTAAAACGAGTACAAAAACAGCGAAATGATTTAGAAGATATATTGGAAAAAGAAAACCACAATATGAATAAATTTGAGATGAATCGTTCGGAAAATATACTATCACGAAGCAATAGTATGTTAAGTGAATCATCTACATTAAAAGCAAGATCAGTTTCAAGGTTATCATCTTTGGAAGAGAATATAAAGATGGATGATCTATCCGACAATTTGGGAAATGAATTAATTTCAAATAATTCAAATATTTGTACAAAAAACCAAAAACAAACCTCATCAATCACGGATAATATTTCAAAAGAACTTATTAGTAACACGACCCATAATTTGGATGAACCAAAAAAAGTTATTTTGTCTACTGGTACATTAGGAAAAAGCTGCGAAAATTTGGATGAAACATATTCCAAACATGGAGAAGGAGTTCTGAATTCTGCTGATAGAAATTCAATATCAAGACTGTCCTCTATAGAAGAATGTGATAACTCTCTTTCATCTCGAAAAAATATAAAAGAGTTTTCTGAAATACCAAAGAGACCATCGTTGGCAAGATTGCCTTCTACTGAGTATAAAAAACAGGATACTACACTAGAAAAATCTATTTCTCCTATTATTAAACAAGATGAATCAAATAAAAATTCAATTTCCAAATCATTCCCTCTATATACAACAGAAAAGAGTGAAAATAAATTAACTACAATTAATAATACACTTGACGATAAATTCAAACCAATATCAGAGAAAAATTTAAATGAGTCACTTCATTTATCGGGTGGACATGATTATTTAAACAATATAAATAATAAACCAAAAAGTAATTACACAGAGGCTTTGGATAATGATGAGTCCCTGCAACATAGTTCCATACATATGTATAATACCGATGAAGCTGACTTTCGTAGAAAATCATTAATAAGACAATCTAGTATCATAAGTGATGCTCTAAGTGCGATGTGTACTGAAATTTCCGAGGATAATAAACATAATAAACAAAAAAGACCTTCTATTAAAGAAGATAATACATGTTATAACACTACTTTAAAAGAAAAAACTGAAAACGATTTATCGATACCTTTAATTAAACCTGCAAATTCTAAAAAATATCCACTGTTTGATGAAGCTGAAAAAACAGATAATTTAGTTAGAAAATCTAGCATTTCAAAAATCAGGGATAATGAAAATATCACTAAAATCGAAAATAATTTAAAGCCTAAATTAGATGTTGACGATGCATCCGAAATTAATAATGAGTCATTTGACTCATTACCATCGAAACAAGAATCTGATGTATCAAATACTGAACCATTGGGAAAATCCTTACACTTGGAGTTAAATCAACAAAAATTAAATGATTTAACCACTAAAAAAGGAGATTCTGATCTTTTAAATGGAACTTTGAATAATAGCTCTCATACTTCAACTGATAGTATTCCTCATTCTACGTCACACAGTGAAAATCAAATGCCTTTGTTTGATAATGAGAATAATTTGAATAATGAACAGCGCAGAACATCTGAACCTTTGAAAAAAGATAACAATTTAGATATCATTTTACCTAAGAAATCTATTTCATCAAGTGATAATGAAAGTTCTGTGAACGATTTACAACCTAATGATTCAACAAATTCCACTAAAAACTTACAAATTCCGAACAATAAAAATGGGATCAATAAAGAAGATGATAAGGTTCAAAAACCTATTCCGAGTTTATCAGATAAAGAAAATGGTAAAAAGTTACCATTTGGAACTCATCAAAAAGAAGGAATTGAATGCAGTACATTTAATGACAACACGGATATATCACCTGGTGATTCTCTTTCATTAACAAAAGAAATAATAGATACCAACGTTCTAAATATGCCATTAAAAAAAAATTTAATTAATAAAGAAAACAATTTAAATAACACAAAAACTGCGAGTAGCATAGAAAAAGTTGATAAAACAGTTAAAGATCATTCTCAAGACGATACAAATAAAGAAAATGAAAATATATCAAAATTGAAATCCCAAAATACACCAAAAGAAGAAAACTATGATATGCCAAGAAGTGGAGTAAAACAAATAGGAGGTATACAAAATATCAGATGTTATAATAACGTCAGTGTTGTCTTTTATCTCTTGTTCGTTAAGAATTCGTCACTGTTCAGGTTATTTAAGCTACATATTGTGTTAAGTTAATGTGCGCCTAATACTGCATTATTTTAACCTGTTTTGTTTTTGATGTCTATTTAATTCATGGTTACCAATAACAAATATTTTTTGGTTTTTGTGTTTGTAAATAATACGTTCAAAAAAGTTGTATATTTTTTCTAATAACTTGGTAAGTTTTATTTCAAGAAAAAAGTTTTTAAAAAAATTATAATTTATCTTGTTTGAAATTTTTAGTGCCTCCAAAAATTATAAGTGGTATGGATGATGATGAAACTTATGAATCACTTACAAAAGTATTTAATGTCAAAGCTCGTGGTACTCCTAAACCAAAAGTTCAATGGTAATAGATTATTAATTTAAATTCAAATAATATTTATTATTTTATCTATTTTTATACTTAAGGTTTAAAGATGGCGATGAACTATCAAATACTAGAAATATCCAAATTAATGATTCCGATGAAGAAGAATCATTTAAATTAACTATTCAAGATTTGAGAGTGGCTGATTCTGGTTCATATTGCTGTAAACTAACTAATGAAGTAGGAGAAGACGTGCAATCAGCAAAACTTAACGTGCAAGATGTAGAGTTGCTTCGTGGTCCCAAAATAAGAAAACCACTAACTGATTTAGAAGTTAAAAAAGGTCAAAAGGTTGTATGGTCGATAACGCTCATAGCTGATCCCGTTCCTGATGTTGAATGGACTTGTGATGGAAAAAATGTCAATGCTGACTTTACTGTTGATACATCTGAAATAGCTAATGGCCTTAAAGAATGTACTTTTACAATGACGATTGCATCTTCTGAACTTAGTGATACCGGTGTTTACCGAGTGAAAGCGACTAATAAGTTTGATTCTGCTGAATGTAGCGCTCGTTTAGATATAGTCATGCAACCTCAAATAGAAGGATTCCATGACATCACTGTAATACCCTCGATGGAAGCGGTATTTGAAGCGATTATTCACGCTGTACCGAAGCCAAAAATAGTGTGGACAATAAATGGAAAAGATTTAGCAGAACGAGAATTTGTTAACCTCACAAGTGAAGAATTAGATAATGATATAACTAAGTTCAAAATAGTTATTGGAGATGTGAATCCAGAAGAGGAAGGTGAATATGTAGTTAAAGCTTGGAATAAAGTGGGTGAAACTACTGCCATAGCTAACCTTAAACTTCACAGTAAGTAAACCTACTTAAATTAATTTTATTAGAATTATTAATTTTATTATTAGAAAATAATATAATCAAATAAAAATTAAATTTTAGCCGAGATTCCTTCATTTGTTAAATTGATGGAAGATTTAACAATACAAGAATATGAAGAAGTTCAGCTATCTGTACGAGTTAATGGAATTCCAAAACCTAAAATCACTTGGTAATATTCATTATAATAAATATTTTATTGGAAATAATAATGTTTTTACATAGGTTTAAAAATGGGGAGGTCGTAATACCTGACTTAAGAATCAGTATACATACAAATGAAGAAGGTCAAATTAAAAGTACTCTTACTATCAACCATTTCAGTGGTTTAGATACTGCAAAAGTAAGATAATATTTAATTCCTTATATTAAATGTCGATTAACGTCTAATTTATATTACAGTTCTCAGTTAAAGCTGTAAATATGATGGGTGAAGCTGAAACATCATCGACTCTAACTATGGCAGAAATAATGCCCTCGTTTGTAAAACCATTAGAACGGATAACAGAAGCTGTTGAAGGATCTCCAATTGAAATTCAAACAGAACTTATTGGAAGCCCTCGTCCTAATGTTGCATGGTATAAAGATGGCGAAGAGCTTAAAAAAATGGAAGAAAATAATACTGAGGATGAACAACAACATATTACCCTAGAAGCAAATCCAAATGGAACTGTTTTGATAAAAATTGATAAAGTTGAACAAGGAGATTGTGGGGCATATAAAATTATTGCGACTAATAATTTTGGTACAAGTGCTACCAATACTGCATTGGTAGTAAATGGTAAGTTCGTAGAATGAATATATTGTACAACATAGAATTATATTTAAACACTAGATTAAACTGTAATTTAATAGTTTGAAAAATAAATAAATGTTTTATCTTGTTAAATTTAAAGTACTAAAGTTAAATTATAAATAACACAAAAAGTCTTAGTGATATTTTAAAGAATTGTATCTAGATAAATATATAATCTTTAAAATCAAAGAAATGATTTTATTTTAGAGTATTGCGATTTTAATTTAAAAATAATTTTAACATATTATGTTAACATTTTCAGCATTAAATGTTTTTAATTAAAACATTCATGTATATTTTTCTAGAATTACCGAAAAAGCCAGTTATAATTAAACACCCAAATCAAGTGGATGCCAACGAGGGTGAAATTTTAAAAATAGAAGCTCAATACGTAGCCCATCCAGACGCTATTGTAAAATGGTATAAAGCAGGACATGTATTACATCCTTGTCCTCAGATTGATTTTGTCATGGGTCCCAATGGCAATATCGCTCTTGTAATTGAAAAAGCAACGCTTGATGATGCTGGTGACTATAAAATTGTTGTATCAAATGAACTGGGTAAAGCTGCTGGTCAAATACAAGTTAAAGTAAAACCGGCAGCTACATTACCAGATTTTATCATGCCTTTAAGAGATTCTAAAGTAGTAGAAGGATTCCCTGCAAAATTACCCTTTAGGTTATCTGGTTTTCCGCTTCCAGAAATGGCATGGTAAGCAATTATTTTATTTTAATTTCTGATCATATTCAATATTTTCAATTACCTTATGCAAGGACAATCAATGATACGCCATTAGTCGTGGATGGAGAAAATATCAAAATGGCACATGAACCTGATGGTCTCCATTACTTGTTAATTGAAAAAGCTGGTCCGGAACATGCAGGCAAGCTTGCAATAATTGCTTCAAATGAAAATGGAACTAGTGCATCAGAAGCCAAACTGTCGGTAACTTGTAAGTCAATAGTTTTATTTTTATTTCAAAAATTAAATAGTACCTACCTTTAATTATAGTGTTACGAAATATATACCATTAGAACTTACATTGGTAGACTAAAAAATGCTTTTCTACATTTTTAAATTGTAAATTAATATATTTATTAATTTGAATTCTTAAACATATTAACTAAAACATTTATTACAATCAAAATTCAATACAGTATGTTCCAACTATTTTTTTTTAATAATTTATTGTGTACACAATTTAATTGCAGCAAAAATAAACACTGATTCATTAGAATCTAAACCAGAATTCCTTCATGGGCTTAAAGATACCACAGTAGAGGAAAGCAATGCATTGACGTTATTAGCTCCATTCCTTGGTAATCCTATACCAGACGTTAAGTGGGAAAAAGACGGAAAAGTATTGCAGCCATGTAATAAAGTTCACTTTACCTGTGATGGTTATAAAGTTGGACTTGAAGTACTTGATACCAACACAGGAGATGCTGGACAGTATACTTGCACTCTAACAAATAAACTAGGATCTTCCAAATCAGACTGTCAAGTTGGCATTCGTAAGCTTTATCAAGCTCCTGTTTTCACGCAACGTTTTTCACATAACCAACAGGTATAACAAAATAAAATATGTTCAATATTTTAAATGTATTTTGTAATTCTATGAATTATTGATTTAGTTGCTTTCAAGAGACGCTAAATTCCATGCTCGTGTCACCGGAGTTCCATCTCCAAATATTATATGGCATAAAAATGGCCATCAATTAACGAATGGGGATAAGTACAAATTAAAACGTGATGGGGAAGTTTGTAGTCTAACTATAAAGGATGTCAATAGTGATGACGCGGGACTATACAGCTGTATTGCAACCAACAGAGATGGAACAGCTACGTGCGAAGCACAACTTTCAATTGCCCCAAGAATGTACTATAAATGTGTATATAAGAATTAAAATGTGATATTATAATGATTTTTTTTTTTAGTGTTGATGAATCAAGGAAACAAGAACCACCATCCTTTATGAAGAAAATTGGTGATTGTGAAGTCTTTGATGGAATGACAGCTAAATTTACTGCATGTGCTACTGGATGGCCAGAACCTGAATATGAGTGGTTCTTAGACACTAATAGATTATATGAAACTGAAAGGATTAGAATGGAAAAAGAAGGTTCTGGTTTGATGCGATTAAAAATATTACACGCCGATTCAATTATTGATTCTGGTCGATACAAATTACGAATCTATAACCCGCATGGAGAAGCCTATTGTGAAGCAAGCATTATATTTGACAGTAAGTTACTAATCAAATATAAAAACAAAATAGCTTAATAATTAATTGAATTATATTACAGATGGTTTTGATTCACGTTCGAAACGTCCCGTTGGTGAACTTTACAAAGACTTTGACCGATATCGTGCAACTGGAGCACCACTACCATTACCTGACCCTCCTACAATTACACGAATGTCTGATAAAAGGCTTACTCTTTCATGGAAACCTTCATTACCAATCACGCCAAGGACTCCAGTGACATATTTAGTAGAAATGGAAGAACAACCAAAAGGCGAATGGATTACAGTGAGAGCTGGTATTCGAGGTTGTGCCTGCGATATACATGGTTTAATACCATTTAGAGATTATAAGTTCCGAGTAAGAGTTGAAAATAACTATGGAATTAGTGATCCCTCGCCTTTTGTCTTGACATACAGGTAAGATAAAAATACTGTAACAATCTCAAAATATTTATTTAACCTTATGAAATTATTATTTTGCTCATATTTTAGAGAAAAATTAGAACCAGAGCCACCTAAATTTACACCTTATCTACCAGTTGGAACTGACTTTAGACCAGAATCATCACCTTATTTCCCAAGAGATTTTGATATTGAAAGACCTCCTCATGATAACTATGCCCAAGCACCGAGGTAAATTAATTAATGCGTTGTTGTTTAGATTACATTGTTATTACTATAAAAATACTTACAGGTTTTTACATCAAGAACACGATACACAATATGGTGTTAAAGGTCATAATACAAATTTATATTGGTTTGTTTATGGATATCCAAAACCAAAAATGCAATATTATTTTGATAATCAGTTAATAGAAATGGGTGGTCGTTATGATTCGAGCTATACACGAAATGGCCAAGCTACATTATTTATTAATAAGTAAGTCACTTTTTTAAATTTAATTTTAAGTAAAAAATGCCATTAAATAACTATCGTATGTTAAATTTAAGGATGTTGGATCGAGATATTGGAACATATGAAGCTGTTGCCACAAATGAACATGGAACAGCTAGACAAAGAGTTAGATTGCAAATTGCTGAATATCCTAAGTTCTTAAAACGACCCGAAGAAAAGTATGTGATTTTACGTAAAAATTGTAAATTAGAAGCTAGAGTTATTGGTGTTCCGTATCCAGAAATAAAATGGTTCAAAGATTGGAAACCCTTGGTCGACTCTGCTAGAATTCAAGTAATTGAACAATTCACAAAATGTATGAATGTTGTATGTTATTATTATTATATTAATTTGTTTAAAAATGATAGATTGAACAAGTAGAACCAGATGTTTGTATACTACGTATCGAAGATGTTATCATGAAAGACGAGGGGTTGTATAGTATTAGTGCTCGTAATTTAGCTGGATCAATATCTACATCAGTGGCTATACATGTTGAGGACCGAGAATCTGATTATTCATATAACGGCAAAACAGACATAAAATGGAAGAAAAAAGATTTTTCAGAATTATATGATATTGGAGACGAGTTGGGACGCGGTACACAGGGTGTTGTGTACCACGCAGTTGAAAGGTCGACAGGTAGAAATTACGCTGCTAAGGTTATGAATGCAAAAGAAGATCATTTGACGAAACTAATGGACAATGAGCTAAAGATAATGAATGATTTGAGTAATAGACGAATTATTCGTATTCATGATGCATTACAGACTTCCAGGACATACACTCTAATCACAGAACTGTATCCTTTAATATATTTTATAAGAAATTCTACTGTTAACATTTTATAATATTTTAAACTACAGTTTTATTTTTTATAATACAATTTATAATTTATAATTTAATAACATTCACTAAGATCAACGAGCTCCATCAAAAATATCAAAGTCAAATAGATGTTTGTTTTATAATGTAAAATTCTATTGATGGGACTATGAAAAACAAAATAACGATTAGTTAAAAATAAAATTTGGTACCTATTAGGTCTAGTGACCATCTATGGCGCAGATTACTTAATGCCCTTTCATGAAGTTTTGTGTGGCGCAAACTAAAACCTTAAAAAGTGGCTCAAATTAAAAAAATGAATTCTTAGATGTAGGGCAAATTACATAAATATTTTTTTGGAGAATTTGTTTTTGGCGCAAATTACATACTCCCTCATTAAGGTATCAGGAAGTCCGTATCCGTAATATAAAGGTTCCGTTGTAGGCAGGTATATTGAATACCTATATTTTTTCAAGGGCTTAATAATTTTGTCTGTTGAGACAGATTCTATTAAATCAGGTTTCATTGTACTACACTGTAATAAAACATCGATAATTTCCTTAACTTATAACATAGTGCTGGAGGTGGTGAGCTTTTGGATATTCTAACCAAACATTCTTTCCTCACAGAATATGACATAGCTTTATACATAATTCAACTACTGAAGGCTTTGAAGCACATGCACGATTTTGAAATTGCTCATTTGGGACTGACAGTGAGTACACAAATACACAAATTATGAACACATTTAATTATTTATAATTATTTATTACATTTCTAAACCCTTAGCCTGGAGATTTACTAATATCTCACCCAGGAGGCGATACATTAAAGTTATGTGATTTTGGACTAAGCAGAAAAATCAATAGAAGAAAATTAGAACCAGTTGACTATGGTATGCCAGAGTTTATTTCTCCGGAAATAGCTAGAGGAGAAGGTGTTGACCTTTCATCCGATATGTGGTCAGTTGGAGTGATAACTCATTTACTTTTAACTGGGGTGTCATTATTCCGTTGTGTAAACGATGCTGATACTTTGGATCGAGTTAAAAGTGGTTCCTATACACTTAGTACCAAAATCAGCGATCTAGCTAGAGACTTTATCTCAAAACTGTTAGTATTCAACTCTAATGACCGTTTGGATGTTATAAGTGCTCTTCAACATCCCTGGTTACAATTTGGTGAAGATATACCCGCAGGAACTAGTCAAATAAACACAGATTCTCTTCGAAATTATTACAACAACTTGAAGTAAGATTTTAAATTTAAAATCTCATTTTTAATCGTTTAATACATTTTATTTATATTTTCAGAGATTGGTATAGTAACGCGTCTTGTAGAAATTGGTATAGAAGCCGTCCATTATCTTCTGCATACACTCATCCATCAAAAATGATTTATCCACCTGGTTTCACTTGCACTCCTAGCGCTACTCCAGAACCAGAAATAAAGCCACCAAAGAAACATGTGCCTTCATGGAAAGATAAACTTCCATCCAGAGAACCAATAGATACAGAAATAGGAATAATTAAATCAGAGAGTCACTATCAATATGGTCCCGATACATATTTGTTACAACTAAGAGACACAAACTTCCCAGTGCGTTTAAGGGAATATATGAAAGTTGCTGGTAAAAGTTTAACTCATAGAGGAGGAAGTGATTCACATATGGACTGGGAGGTAATTAAAGTTACAAAATAATTATGATGCATTTAAAATGTAAATCTGAGTAAGATTTTCAAATCATGTCCAATATATTATTGTTTCAGGCTCCAGTTATTCGCGAAAGAAGAAAATTTACAGATATCATGGATGAAGAAATTGAAGATGAACAAAAAGCGAGGATCAGTAAATATGGTGCTGACATATACACATTAAGGAGACTTAAACAAGAAATAGGTTCTAGACCAACTGCTCATGTAGAAGCAGAAGCAATTTTAGAATCAAGAATTGATGGACAACCACCATTCTTTAGAGAAAAGCCACAAAAATTACCCATTGAACCAGATAAGCCAGCTGATCTTATGTGTTTAGCTGTGGGAGTACCAAAACCATTAGTTCAGTGGTTCAAGTTAGTTTTTATTTTGAAAATATCATAGGTAAAATAAATATATTATGATGTATTAATTTGTTATAGAAATGATATAGTTTTAACTGAAAGTCATAGAATAAAAATGTTAGAGGACAATGATGGTAGATCAATTCTCAGATTAGATCCAGCAACCGAGTTGGATCTAGGTATATATAAAGTTGTGGCGAGAAATAAATTTGGACAAACAACAGCAAGAGCTCGGTAAGTTGAGTTATTTTATTGATATATTTTGTATTTATATTCATATATACTAATATTTAAATCTTTAAAAGGCTCGTTTTAGCACATGAACCCGGACCTATGGAAGCCCCAATAGTGAAGGAATATTCTGATACTGAAATTTTATTACGGTGGGATCATCCAAAACTGGATGGAAATTCTCCAATATTATGCTATCAATTGGAAGTACGAGAAAATGGTAAGTTGTAGAATTCGATGAAATATATTGTACTTTTATGTACCTACAATGAAATTAACTATGTAATTATTTTATTAAAATACTGTGATCATTTATAGTATTTGATAACCAAATAAAATGTAGACTTAAAATGCTGTGTATCTAATCAAGTAGGTATGTATAACCGATTTGTAAAATGATTGCAATATCAACTTATTACCTTAGAAGTTCTAGATGTATAGTAGGTACATTTTTTAAATAACTTAGTACAAGGATATGAATAAATGATAAAATTAGTATACACAAAAATTAAAATACTTATGATTTATAATACACCTATTTATGATCTAAGCTATTTAAATATCAATCAATCGTAATATTATTATATATTATAGAAAGTGAATGGGAACTGGTGGCTAAAAATATTGATCACGAATTTTGGCTAATGCAAAACCTTCGACCTTACACAAATTATGAATTCAGATTAGCAGCAATGAACTATATTGCTTGGGGTCCAACTGGACCATCTTCACCAATGATTCGAACACATTTCCCTGGTAAGATTAATACTTGAAAATATAATCAAATATAGATTTAAAATCCTATAAACTTAATGATTGAAAATAGATGCGCAAAAATTGGAAGTTCCATCGGCGATGTTAAATTTACAGATAATAACTGAAAGTGGACGGGAAATCATTGGTGACGAGCCTCGTAATAATTTAGATTATTCACTTGAGTATAAACCAATAGATTGGGCTGAACAGCCTCCTATCGAAAAATACCGTTTTATTTCTGAAATCGCAAGGTAAGATACATTTACCCAGTGCTTATTATATTTATGTATCCCTATTAATTATTTTAATTTCTCAAATAGAGGGCGATTCTCCGTCGTACTTAAAGGAATAAATACATCAAATGATTCAATTGCTGTAGCGAAGTTATTGGAGATTACACCTGACACTGAATCACAAGTTACACACGAATTTAATGTCCTTAAATCATTAAAACACGAAAGAATAGCATACCTCATTGAGGCTTTTAAGTAAGGAATATCATACAAAAATATTGTCTATTATATTTGTGAATTGTCTATACAATATCCATATAGTAATGATATGTCGAATATAAATACAATTAATTAACTACCTAATGAAAATATAACAAATTGATACTAACTCTTAAACTAAGAAATATTGTATTTTATTATTAATTTAAATTCATAAAACCATTTAAACTTAATTTACTCAACCTAACCTTTATCAACTTAAATAAATAGTTATTATTTCTACCTATAAAAGAATATTGTTACAACTATTCAAAAATAAAATCAAGTGTCAGGTCATAAAGAAACAAAATTCTTATCATATATTTTCCAACTTTATACGTGCCCCCTCCCCCCATGGTTTGTAGTGTTCACACTTGTCACTTGTATTTGGTAGTTGCTAGTCACTTGCTACCTACTATTTATTATTCTAATTTGTTATTATTATTAAATACTCTATTAGTTACATGTTTTTATTAAATATTAGGCTAGAAAATGCACCTGTTGCTGTTTTTATTCAAGAAAAATTACAAGGAGCAGATATACTGACTTACTTATCAACAAAAGAACATTATTCGGAACAAACCGTAGCTACAATCGTCGCTCAAGTAATTTATTTTTATTTTATTTTAATTTATTTCATTTTATATGTTGGTGAGAAGTTTAAAAAAGAGAAAAAATAAAAACAGTATTTTTAAAAATTGTTAAATGGGTTCAAATGTTAATTTAACTTCTTTATATCAAAAAATAATGTTTCAAATTATTTTTTATTATTTTAACTGATAATTTAAAGCCACGTAGAAACTAATATTAACATATTAAATTTAGAAATTAAAACATTTTTGTTACTATTTAAATTTTATATGAATTTGAAAAAAAAAAAGGGTTGATTGTCTAAGGTAGGTCTCAGCAATTTACATGTCAAATATTCGGGAAACCTGTAGGCTGTGGGATTATGGTCAACATTATATATTAAATAATGATAATATTTTGTATTCCAATCTACCGAGTCACTATAAAAAAAGTAGAATTCAAAATTGCCAAATGTTAGGAATTTTACAAACCAGAAATGTAAAGTTTAAAAACGGTATCATAGTAATGACACCCATCAGCTAATATGTTCACATTATGAACAACGAAGCCGACAGCAGATTTCGGAATAACATTTTTAAATTAAAATCGAATAGAAGTTTAGATTTTTGGAGGCTTCTATAATATTGTTGGAGTGTTTATATATCAGAGGGGACTCCCTACCACGGTTACGCAAATAAAATACGGGTAGGTAACTTCATAATATCTCCAAATACATTTTAGAAAAATAGGTTATTTTTAGAAAAATAAAAAAACCTGAAAAACCCCGACCTGGCCTGATAAGTAATTTACACTTGGTTCATAATGTATACGTTTCACATCGTAGGTATTGGACGGTTTGCAATATTTACACTGGCGAGGATATGCCCATTTGGATTTGCAACCGGACAACATAGTGATGGCTTCTGTGCGGACCATACACGTCAAACTGATCGACTTTGGATGCGCGCAGAAAGTCAGTAAGCTAGGAGCAGTCGTTGGGGCAAACAGCGTCTTGGAGTTCACGGGTAAATTATATTTTTATATCGAATTCCATCGATTGGTGATCTATAATATAATCACTAACCATTTTGTCTACTAATTATCCTTGAAATCTGCAGCACCGGAGATCTTGTGCGATGAACCTGCGTACCCATACTCCGATATTTGGTCGCTCGGAGTGATTGCATACACTCTGTTGTCTGGTATGTCTCCGTTCCGAGGATCTAACGACACGGAGACCAGGCAAAACATCACATTTGTCCGATATCGGTTTGAATATCTGTACAAGGACTTATCGCAAGAAGCCACTAGATTTTTAATGTTGTTATTTAAAAGGACACCAACGTAAGTAGCATATATTTTTCTTTAAAAAATAAAGAAAAAAAAATTCACCGTTATCTTTTATTGCAGAAAATAGGTACCTACTATAATACTACTTGCAGTTTATTTTATACTTTGAGTTTATATTATTTTTATATTTTAGTAAACGGCCATCAGCAGAAGAATGCCACGAACATAGATGGCTATTACCAACGGAATATATGATTAAGAAAAGAGAAAAAACCATGTTTAATTCTTACAAATTACAGGTAAATATTTTATAACTGCAAAATATAGGTAGGTATCGTGGATGTTTAATTGATTATGTAGGTGCCTACTTATATACAATTTAGATGGGTGTAGACATTTATTAGGTACCTATATTAAACATTTTAGTTACCTACGACCTACCCCCCTTCTATAAATGTGAAAAAAAAATTTTTTATCGGGTCAAAAAATATCTGAAAATTTAATCCAATGTTCCTTATGACTTTTTATAATATCATTTAAATAATATTATAAAAATACAGAGGCGTAATTTTTTTTTATAAGCATTAAAGATTCAAAGTTTAACAATATTCATCAAAATCCCGTAAATTCCAAATTATTATTTTATAGTTACAAATTTATAAAATGTTCGGTTTTTATAGTTAAGGATTGAAAATGTAAAACAAGGTTTCTTAAAGTAGTTTATACTATCACCAACAGTTCTAAAAATAATATTTAAGCACAAGATTTTTATAGCTATTTCAAGTTTAAATTTTTACCTAAAAGATATTTAAATGAAGAATAACGATTTAAGTTATTTTGTTGTACTTAATTTAAAAATATTAAAATATAGGTTAAACTACTGCAGATAATCTCCACTCAGAATCGTTTTTCTTATAAAAATATATGCAATGATATTATAATATTATCATTGAATTCAAATTTAGCACGATCTGTTACAGTGACCCAAACAACGCCTAATGTATAGGTATGATACCCAATTGCTGACCTTTTTATACTTTGATATCAAAAAGCAATAGTAACTAAATAAATAATAAAATATATTTGGTTAAATTGGCTAATTGTCTCAACTAAGTCAGAAGTCTAATAATAAAGAGTGTGGTTTACAAACAGTTTAGCTTGGCAACTTTACAAAAATGATTTTGTATATAACTGTATATGACTACGATAGGTACCTATACAACTTTAACAAACAAATTCTTAGGCGAAAGCCTCAGACGTTTTTTTAAAACACTTTTAGAATCCGTGAAATTAAATTGAATCAAAAGATTTTAAAAACTATCTATATCAACTGAAAATTGAACATAAGCATTTGGAATTTTGGAACTCACTATATGATAGTATGGTATATTACGTTTTGGGTTTGTCAGTGCCTAATTCAAAATGCAAAATAGGTCAACGTTATTACGTAAACAGTTCCTAAATATTTTTACTTTTCGTAGTAAATATTTCCACTATATTAATTTAGTTTAATTGAATCTATGAACAATAATTTCTTTGGAGAGAACTTAATGTTGGACCAAGCATGATGAGATGATGTCCTCATTGAGCTTAAACTTCTTTCCTGCCCAAAGAATAGGAATAGACTATACATAACACATTATCAAAATTATGCGATCCGCAAATCAGAGGCCTAATTAGGAATTTGTTTTTGGGGGATAGACATTTTTTTACTCACAAAATACTAAATAAATAAAATAAATATAGTAAATAGTAAATTCCCAAGTACAGTAGTGAGGGGGGTAGCTGGGAATAAGTACTATTTTATCAAAAATCCTAAAACTAATATAAGCACACAATTTATAATTTTGCTTTAAAATTCTACACAATTTACCTATACAATATTATAATATATTTGGCATAAATTCACTTTAGCTGCCTAGCATTTTTTTTTTTTTTGAAACATAAATATTTCAACGAGTTAAGAACGACGGTGCAAAAAAATTTGCGGTAATCATTATTTTATAAGTTATATCCTTCCAAAGTTTGCGGTTTTAAGTTTAAGCAGTGACTATAACGAATTTTGATTTACTTTATATCCCCCTTAATTGCGCTACTGACTCCAATACTAATAATTAATGAGTAATGAGTATGCAAGTTGTAAATAAATTATAACTGGTTTACGAAGTACGAGACACTAGTGCGTAGGCGCAATTTCAACTTTTGACTTGGGGGGGCTGAATATATTAAAGGCAAGCAGACCATTGCAATATATGCATATAGCAATATAGCATATTAAAATTGTATGTCCTAGATTTTGGGGGGGGGCTTAGCACCCCCCCCAAGCCCCCCTCAAATTGCCCCTATGCACTAGTGACAACTACAAAGTGTAAGAACAGTTATCATTTGTTTTTAACTTGTGTCAAAATACTATTGATTTACTTTGTAACCTATACATACCTAATTGATGAATATTTAATTTAGCATTTTGCCAAAGAGTATCATGAAAACCGGACCAAATTGGCAACTTCGTCGCCAAAATTGTTGGGAGCCTTAGGAACAAGGCAAATTGGACTTGGTCGGTCAAATAGCGTAGTTGATGAACTGCTTATCTTCAAATAAATGTGGCAGAAACGACTTCACCAATCTAATATAAAGTTAATTTTAAATCTGTTATTATATCAGAAACGTTACAATGTTATTATGTTATATTATATTATTATCAATGTAATTGTACATGTCTTATTGATTAAATTATTGTTAATTTAAAATGAATAAGCGAACAGTTATTTAATTCTCAAGTTGAAGTGCATTGTTATACCAACGAGCAATACCATTAAGTCCATTATAACAATACATAACAGCACACCAAATTCTTTATAGTTAGCATTCGTAGATCCTTGTAGAGTGAGTTTATGAAGATACATTCAAACTATATTATTTTGATTGACTACAAGCGCATTTGAGATGTTGTCTCGAAGTCCACCCCATGCCAGTATACCATATTGAAAATTTGAATATAATATAATATATAGATGTAGAATATCAGTATTGATGTAGTACCTACCTATATTATATTTTTTATGTATTTTTTCTTCAAGTAATAATAGATTATATAGATTACATCATGAAAAACTTTCTAAAATTTAAAATGCTTTACAAAAACTCGGTGGACCATTCGTCCTATTTTAAAAACCATCATCGTAAAAAATTAGCACCTACAAACGATTGTATTGTAATAATGCAACTACCCAAACTGAAATTACAATGCGTCAATGCATCTATTTTACAGAAAAGAATTTAAAATAGTTCTCGATACCCTTTTTGAACTAACAAATGACAATTTAAAATCATGTATTTCTTCTATTCAATCATTATTCATCTATTATTTTCTCAACCATGTAATAAACACAATAATTCATTGGATAATGTAAACAAATCTATTTCTTCATTGCCGCCAATAGCAGTGTAGATGCAAATCTTCAAGATTATGATTTAGTTCAAACAGAACTAGAAATATATATTTATAGTATGTTACGAGAATTTGAAACACTAATTTTATAAATATAAAATATAGCTAGGTTAATAAAACCAGAAATTTATTTTTTTAGTATCCTTCTTCACAATGGTTGTGTTATAATTTTATCAATTATAATATTGTGGGACCACAAAATCACATCAAACATTCTTAGAAATTAAACATTAGTACAATAATATTTTTTTTTAATACTGAAAAAATATAAAAAAGTAGGTATATAATATATAAAACTTAGTTATATCGGAGCTTATATTTATTGTTGGCAGGCCAAAGAAGGCATTTTAAAAAAAAGTTGGTGCAAATGTATACCCTGCCCCCCCTCCCAAAAAAATGACGCCTCTGCTATTAGTGCACATTTACATGGTGGTACGAAGGTACCGTGAAAATCGAAAGTTTCATAAGGCTTATTAGTACCTATATCTTTGTTATCATTATTTACAGGATTTATACGTTGATCAATCAGTGAGTAGGTCAGGACACGTTCGACTATACAGGGTGTATCTTATGTCATTGTACGCGGGGTTTTTTGACGATTACGGAACGATGATATGGAATTTCGTTAAAACGAAAAAAGACGTATTTCTTTATTTTTAACAAGCAATTTTTTTATAACAATTTCAAAATTTTTAAACACGCAGGTGTACCAATGGCAAAATCAACTTTTTTTTTCAAATGGTAACCACTATATTTTTTAATGGATTCTGGTAAAGCTTTTTTTCTGAACATTTTGGTAGTCGAATCGTCAATTTTGGTTCGCTAGTTTATTAACTATGGTCCTCCAAAGATTAGTAAAATATGCATTAATACTTTTAATTCAAATAATGGGTATAGGTTTAATTTACAAGCGCTAAACAATTTTTTCTTATAACTACCATTTGCTACACTACAATAGTTGAATCGGTAATCTAATGACACCCTCAAAAAATAAATAAATAAATAACAAACATAATTGTTTGTAAACATTCTTCATTATTTTTATTTTAACATACGATCATAAAAATCAATATTATTATTTTAATATCCAAAACTAAAAAGGATGGAAAGGGATGAATTACAACTCCTAAGTTCATACTTTGGATGCAATACCATTATAGGGAATCTATTTATCTATGGTTAAAATATCAAGTTTATACTTTATACCACTACGAAAAGAGCACCACAAAACATTGCACTTTTTTCGTTGCACATATTAATGTCAACAATCGAATGCCATTTACCAATTTACCATTATTACCTTAGCCACCTACCTAATTAAGAATTCAAATTTATGATATTGTAAGAAAAGTAACTGTGATGAAAAAAATGTAAAGTAATTAATTACGATTATAATAATAAATTAAAATAATAATATTGATTGGGCAGTATATTCGCGGGTAGGCAATCCACCTGTGGTGCAAACTCCCTGAGATGTGTACGTAATTGATTTAGTAACAACACGTAGCTTAAGATGTGCATGTGTAGCCGTGTATAGGTTCCCGGGACAACGGTGGAAAAATGAGCCTTAGGAATACCATTTTTACTAAGGTATATAGTTTTGACCGAATGTAATATACAGGCACGACGTAGAGAAGTCATCTACATCGTGGGTACAGGTCTAAAATGATATTCAATCATAACCACCAAATAGCAACCTTACAATAAGCAAAAATATATTATTACCTAGGTACCTTTTAAGTTCATTTTTTTGCTGGACATCTGGAGCCACAGTTGTGTATTTTCCTTCCAGTTTCCTACTTATCCGGAAGATTTTCATAAAATTGTCTTTCATACAAACCTTGTCCTGACAATTAATACTAACAATACTACAGAAAAAAAATCAGTCAAATCGGTCGAGTAAAAATAACAAAATAACAATATATTATATAAAGTATAAACTATAAAGCACATAGTAGAGAGAACCTTTATATAAACTATAAAGGCTCTCTAGCACGTCTGCCCATAGAGTAGGTATATTAATATAAAGACTACGCCTGTCCAGTGCCGGATTGATATGTATATGTATATGCCTATGCCCATCGAGATTTTCACTTCTATAAGCGGCCCATTTACATATTCATTGGCCCAAAATTACGTCTATAATTATTATGAGCTTTTAGGTGGCAAATCTTGTTTTAAACATGAATTTATTTTGACATTCACACGACCGGCCCAAGGAGATTTTCTCGGTAGCTCGCCAAACCAATCTGGCCCTGCGTCTGTCCATAGAATAGGTACCTATATATAGACAACGTTTATAGTATAAGTGCAACCATAGATTTGAGAATAGTAACTATTATCAGATCTATGAGTGTATCGAGTTCGTATCTCAGACACCATTACAATTTTTTTGTATTTTTTTATTCCGTAGACTTTTCAAAAATGTTATTTCATACAAACCTTGCTTTGACAATTATGTACGAACAATTAGGTGACAAAATTTTTAGTCCATTTAGGGAGTTTTTAATTTATATTGCCATATTATTATTGTGTATTAAATATTAATTGTATAAAAAATAAACAAATGTATGGAAGTATAGTACCTACCTACATTTATAGTACTTATAGGTATATATTTTAATAAATTTATTATTACGACCTTCTGTTAAAAGCAATTATTACAGCTTAAAAATGAGACGATGAAAAAAATGTTCATCAATTAGTAGGTTATAATGTTAACAATTACAAAAAATATTTTAGGGCAACTAAAAAAGATGTTTTAATGACAATTGAATCAGAAATATCAAGTCGTAGGTAAAGCAGTTTTTGAAGAAGTGATCACTTTATTTTCAATTCTCCAATCTAGGAGAAACTAGAAAGTTATGAAATATGTATCTATATTATGGATTATTACTATTAATAAAATTAAGATCAGAAAATGCAATATCTAATAATAAATGGGTAGGTACCTACTTAATACATATTTTTTTCAATTTATATTTAATTTTGGATTCTGAGCGGAGCGAGAAAGCTATAGTGGTTTTGCAATGGTGTTTACTGTTTATAATTTTTTTTTACCCTTTTTACAAAATGTCTACCAGAAGGAGTGTTTTGATTTCAACATAATAGTATCTTATTTTTTGGCAAATTGGATCAAGATGGTACTTTAGAGAGGTCATTTTTCGATTTTCTCAATAGTTATTCAATGCCTCGGGAAACTCAGCCACCTAGGTAGGCAATGTGCAAACATTAGATTTGATGCATGCTTGTACCTGATCTGCCCGACTAACAAATGGCAACCAATATACAAATTATTATTGTTAAAAGCAATAGCAACCACCTGGGTCTAATAAACTGATTTTTATTTGTATGTAATATTATTTACGCAAGTACCTATATACGTGCCTTATTTTATTTTCTCGTTGTATTTTATTATAAATTAATTATTTTTATTGTCCAATATATTTTTTTTTTTTTTTTTGGTTTATAAAATTGTATTTAATCTGTTACAAATAAAAGAGAACAATAAGTACAATTGATGGTAAATATAGGTTAAAATAAAAATATAAATAAAAAGGCAGATTAAACAGACTGTAGAGACCTTTCAGTTGAGGTACTACGACATGAGTAGATCCAATAAATGAATTAATTTGTATTAATGTAAAAGAATCTATCAAACCAACGATTTTTAGAATTATCATAGGTAAACAAATAAAGGTAAATTTGTTTTCTTAAGTATCAGAACAAAAATATATTTAGTCAAATTAAATAAATAATAATCGCAAATTTTTTTCAGTAAATATTTTCATAGCGTATACTTTAAAAATAAAACCGTATTACTATATCAAATAATTGCCATGTCATGTTATTTGAAACAACATGGGTTTTCTTTAACACCCAAATTAACCATAGTTAACCCGAATAAATGTACATTTAATCTTAACCAGAAAAGTTCATTAAATCGAAACACCTGAATTTTCTTTCAACACCCAATACCGGTTTAAATGATTCCAGTGCAAAGTCCTAGTGAAGAGTGAAGTCTATTGGTTAAAGGGTATAAGGGTATAAGGGTCAAGGGGTATCAACTTATCCCTCGAAATAATCATTTTAACTTTTTACTATATTCTGTCTTGTGGTTGGACCACAAATAATTTTCATGAATAAATTTAACAAGAGTAATAGGAGAATAAATCATATTCAATTTTACATAACATTTAGAGACAGTAAACGAGAATAGTAGTATCACTTGTTTTCTATACTACAACCATTTTTCAAACAATTTAGTTACATTACGAAATGTAAGTGTTCCACATACAAATCATGCGTGATAGTTAAATTTATCCTTGTATTTCATATAATAAATTTTTATAAATGATTTTTTTGTAATACAAACAAATTAAACTAAAACTAAAATTTATTGTACTGAATTTTTATATAGTTTCATTATTATTTCTCTAGACACGTCATTGTAGTCCATTGATTTTGGTACTATTATCTTAAATTAAACACTGGATGATGGAAAGTAAGGCTTTCTGTGATGATGAACTGGTGGATAAAAATGTTCATAGGTTTTTTCCACAGCAATAATAGAAGCTGCTAATCCAAAGGCAATTGTAAGCCCACGTGTACCACGGAACCAACATTTGAAATATTGTGCATAACGACTACCATGCCTTGGAGGATATCTCCAAACTTCATTCCTATAATTCAAACATTATGATATAAGTTAAATATAAAACAGTTATTAGAGTAAACTCACAAATAATCATCCGTGGATATAATTTATTGTATTTTAAAACATAAATATCCTAAACAAGTAAATTAGTTTTAAAAAAATTATCTTTGATATTATATGAGTGAGTGAATGTATACAGTCTAACAAGATAATATCCGTTTTAAATTACAACAATAGTAAAGTCAGACATCACCCATCCAAATATCATTATGGTTATAAAAAATAATAGCTAATACAAATTTGGATAAATGTATAAGTGTGTTGCTATAAAATAATTTTAGATACTATAAACATTTATAATGTACCTACACTAAATTAGAGATTTTTGAGAACTTTCATTCCAAGATTTTATTAAAATGTGTTGGCATAATTATCAATATGTATTATGTACAGTACCATAGGCGTGCGCAGGGGGGATGCCAGGTAAGCCATGGCATCCCCTGCAGAGTTATAATACCCATATAGTTTTTAGAAATAAATGTTTTGATTATAAATTAGAATCATGAACTAATAGATAGTTCATAGTATCTTAGTTCAATAATTTAAATATTTTGATTATTTTTTTATATTATTTTCTATAGTAAAATATTGGGAGTTGAGACGAAATCAAATATTAATTAGATTGAATTACCACCACAGGTACCTATAAATAATAAAATAGATTCCTAACAATATTCATAATAATATAGGTAGGTAGTGTTGAAATCAAAATTCACCATTTTCGTGAGAATTGTGGGTTTTGTCACCAGAACATTCAGGTATTGCTTATTTCCATACTACCTACAACTCTCAAAAATAAAAGAATTTAGATTAATTAGATTATCATTTTTTGTCATTATTATATATTATTATAATATAATCAAATGTCTGTAGGTTTGTATACTGTTGTTACTTTATTGGAATGAAATCACAGTACAACATTTTCAAATTAAAATATCTAAAACCAATAAATAAGCTAAATAAAATGCATGTTAATTTCTTTTCACATTATATGGTAAGTTATTTGTATCTATTAAGAGTTTTTGGGGAGTTATTTTTTGTATTGAGCTAGGTATGTTTAAAAATACCGGCATACCTTGAGCAAAAAAGTCTGCTCACGCCTATGTACAGTACCAAGGTAATAAAATAATTAGTTAGGTTCATTAATATTATATAAATGTGTTATGTATATTATTATTTATTATATATCAGTGGCACTCATGCACTCATGGTAATTCGACAAGGTAATAGTTTTTTCCTTAAAAAATTGTATTTTATCTATCAACATTTAAATATTAGTTTTAAATGTAAAAGTAAATTGTAGATGGTAAGTGCGTTGATATTATTTTTTTTAAAGTAAGGAGCACCATTCAAGAATTGGTACATTATAGATATTAATATATAATAAATTATCTCAGGTTTGACCGGAAATTGGAGTCTACACACGTCTTATGCCTATACATTATACAATCTATAAGTACATTATAAATGCTCTAATTTTATATAATAATTAGGTATTGTGCGTTTTTACATTTAATAGGTGATATACGTCAAATGAAGACTACCAACCCATTATTAATTCAAAGAAACTTTACCTCAACCACGGATCTTTAAGTCCTTCGGTAGCTAAAATATTCTTCACCTTCACAAGTTCCGGTACGTTATCAACTTTATATATTCTGTAATCCGGTATTTTGATTTCATGTTCGTGATGGCCACCCATCGCTTTAAAAACGTATTAATTTTGATTATTATACTATACAAAAATAAGTAGAGAAATACTTACTTTTTAAAATATATCAGGATCTATATTAGTATTATTTATTATAACTCAACTATAGACGCGATTACGCGAAGGAATCGAAATTCGAAGCCCGAAGGATAACTAAAAAATGGTTGTAAAATTCGAGCGACTTGATAATAGAAACAGCTGTTAATTTTCAAAGAAGACGTAATACCATTATAATATTCTGTTCATCTGTGGTGCAACTATGGTATTAGCTGGTAAATACCATTGGTATACGTCTATGGTACAGACCAATCAACATGTTGTTGTTGTACCTTCAATAAATTACTGGAATTGAGTAAAATACCTAGTAAATTGTTATCTAAGGCGTAAACCAACACTCGTTGACTCGAAATAGTTATTAGTTACTATTTAATAGTAAATTTGTTATGATTTTAAATATATTTTAGTTTTTCATAGCCTTATACTTAGCTTAGAACCTTAGGTATGCTTTTATAGATTTCAGTTTTTATTTTTTTACGTTATTTTTATGGAATATTGTAAGTCATAACTATTTATATTCAACAGCGAACTCTATTAGTTATTTAAAGTATTTTAAACCACTCATTACAATGAGTTCTGACAAAATTGACTATCCAAAAGCATCGAGTAAGTGTTTATCATATTAATACCGTATTACCGTAAACGCACATCTCTACTTTGTTTTTATTTCATGTGAAATTGCATTAGATTTAATTAGATTTAATTGTAATAAATATAATAATATGATTTAACACCATGCTACCCTTCGTGTTATAACTATTTGTAAAACTTTTCGGATCGGTAAATCACCATGTTCTTTTGAGTATACCAGTTCATTTTGGTCTGAGACTGATTACATTTTATTTTGGTTCGGTGCTTTCATTCTGAATAAAAATAAAATAGACCAAAATACATGGTGAATCTCTTTCCACACATTTTGATGTCCCTCTAGTTGGTCATCTATCTGCTCTGCTTTTCTCTTTAATTTTAATTAATACTACAAACTAAGCCTTACGGATTTCACGTTGCTTGGTGTTTGCTGATAGTATTTCTATAGGTATTTCTTCAGCTTTTTTTTTTTTGGTTCAATGGTTAAAACTTAGAATCAACTAATCAAGGATCTTTAAATTTTAGATATAAAATGTCATCATATTTTAAGTTTTTAAGGAAACAAAAGCATCACTTAGTGCTCGTATTACAATCGTTAAACCACCAAATTCAGCCGGTAAAATCAGTGGGTTAAGCGTAACCGAGGCTTAAACTATGATTGTAAATCGGGCTCTTAGTGATACAATTTATACATTAATTAAATATGTAAATTTATTTATCTACCTATTTTTTTTTTTTTTTATTCTAAAAATTGGGTAATTTTTAACTGCAAATATTAACCTGTTCTAGAATTAATTAGTGATGCTGGGGTTATCATTTACATAGGAGGATTTCTCTTAATCATTGCATTTATAAGGTACTTATAAACAATTTTAACGTTATAGCTGGTTTACTTGTTTAAAAATAATGAATTAATATTTGTAGCCCTTATTGGTTGGAATCATATGATGAAGCTTTCATAAATTTTAAGCACATGGGTTTGTGGACATACTGTTTTGACCACTTCCGATACCCTCACTATCAATTTGAAAAACTCTTTGATGGCTGCAATACAGTATTCAGTGAAGAATATTACGTTATTCGAGAATGGCTATTACCAGGTTAGTAATAATTGATGATAAATTACAATTAATTCGTATTCAATTTTTTAGCAGTTAAACATTTATGAATTATGATGTTTGTTTTAAAAGGATGGCTATTATTTTTGGAACTTTGCATGACTCTAGCAGTATTGTTATCACTTGGGACATTAGCGATAATTGCTGCTGTTGTAACTAGATATCCACAACGTCTTGTACTTAAATATGAGTACATGCTATCGGCTGCATGTTTCTTAGCGGCTGCAACTACTGGTTTGTTAAAAACATATTATTATTTGTTATATCATCTGATGACTCATGATTTGATTAAAATATAAATTAATTTTTTTTCAGCTATATTGATACTGTTTACTGTATTCCTGTTCCCATTCAACTGTTGGAGACGTGATTGGCTCATGTATCCTATGTATAACCATCTATCGTGGTCATTTTATATTGCTATTGTATCGGGTTTTGTGCATGCTTATGGAGCATGGTATTTATTTCAGGTTTGTTGAATATTTATTTATTATTGAATCATTACTGATGGCCATTTTATCATTATTTTCAGGACGCACAAATCGCTTACGAACAAAGAAGGGAGAGCAAAAATTTAGTCATGCAAATGTATCCTCCTCATGAGCGTAACTTCTATGATCAATAACACTGACAAACGTTAACTTTCATAAGATATTTTAAACAAAAGACAAATCCGTCCATTCGAAACATAACAATCTGTCCATTAATTTTAACTGTTTAATTTTGTATTTGATAATTTAGTTAATGATCTATAATTGTCTATTATTGTAGCAATTCGTCTCATCTAAAAAAGTATATTATTTATAATGCGTAATTAATTGTTTTGTGTATTATTTTTTAATTTTATTAAGAGAATTTCATATCCAGATATTTTGCTTCAATAATGTTATAATCATAACACATTTTATCTCCAGGAGAATCCATTTTACTCTATTATTTTTAATATAGTGAATTTAACAATTTAAAGGCAAGAATATTATCCAGGGCTTCTAATTGTGAAATTTTCTATGTTGTACATTATATACTGGCCACAGAAACTCGTCCGCTACCTTGCAGGTTGAACATTTATTGGCCTAATGTCGTTGGTTGGTAATATACTATGTCGAGATTGAAGAGAGGAAACCGGTTTGCCACCAAGGTGAAGAAGCACATTTTTATCCTGGGGAGAGTATAATAAGATGGAGACAACACAAGCAGGTGCAACTTCCACTTTAAAGAATTAATTTTAAATTTGATTTAATTATTATGTAAGTAAAAGAAAAAATACACTAAATGATGAATTATATTAATTTTATAAAATATTATTTAAACTTTCATTGTTTGGTACAGTGTTTTTATGTTAAATACTAACTAGAACTTAAGTATATGAAATTATTTCCTGTTATTTTCTTATATTATACATTGCACCAACCACTATTTTTGAACCGTTATAGACTGTTATACAATTAATTATGATATTTTAATATTAATGTAAAAAATAAGAATTAATTAACAACATATTATTTTATTTTCTACTATTTACTGTTAAGCTTACAATATCAACATGCTTGGAGTAATATTAATATAATCTATTTATTTATAACAGTACATTATTTTTATGTTAAAGTTATAATTTTAATAAAATCAACTTATTTTCAAGTGTTTAGTACAATTTACTGTTTAAACTTATTTTGTATTTTAAGCAAAGCAATGAATTTGCTGGTTTTAAAATTATTGTGTTTTTAGTTTCTAGTTAAATCTATAATTCTGATAGAAACATCTAAAAGTTCATTAGGGTTACACTTTGATTAGAATTTATTTTACACCGTTAGTCATTTATATTGTCTGCTAAGTTTCCCAATTGTAAGATAAAAATGATTATAGTTACAATTTAGCTGTTCTCAATTAACTATAGTTATTTAATGGATGAAATATGACCTACATTGCATGTTTATGTATTCTTGTCGTATGCAGTTTACCACTCGTAAAGTCAATTTTTTTCGGTCACCTTCTAGAGCAGTAAATCTGAACAAAATGTTCACTTTATGTTAATATTAGCATTTTATGTACATGGTATAATAATTTTAAACATAATATCATGAATTTTTATTTTTTTTCAATTTTCAAAATTTTTTTTGTGTGTACACGACAAGTAGTTGAAATAATGCTTTGATTTTCAACTTCAGTATCTTCTCCGATGGGAAAGTGAATCTAGTAGGTACATTTGGGAGTTCAAAATTTAAAATTACCAGTAGTTACAAAACCACCAGGAAAAACAAACAAAATAAGGAAAAACAGTAATTTTTACACAAAATAGGTTTTTGTGAAACACTAAAACTAATTACCATAGATAGATGAAATTTACACTGAATATTAGCATTAGATTTTCGAAAAATTTTGAATCATGATAAGCTATTTATAGCCCTTTGAAATTTTTTTTTATTACTTTTATCTAAATTAAGGTACCTATTTAAATCAAGCGTTTGAAGACATTGGATTTTTACCCTTAAAATAACAAATTCTCACAGAACTACTTGCTTATTTGTTGTACCTAATTCAAAACCTCGAGAGTCTAGATACAAGAAATTCGCATTAGGTATATTGTTTATTATTTTATCTTTTGAAATTTTCTATACTTGATAAAATGTTTAAAATAATTTGATTCGTTTCGAGCTGTTTACTGACATTTTCAATTTTTTAGTGTTTTTTCTATAAAGTTTTATTTATTGGGTCAAAAATCTTGGAAATTAAATACAAGACTCCTCACACATTGTTACAATATGTCAAAATCAGTTTAAAAAAAATTACATTCTTGGGAGTAAGGATGTTAGACAGAAGTGAAAACCTTTACTAATACATTTTAATTAAGTATTAGTTTATATTAAAGTTAAAAAATTGACAGACTGAAAAATAAGCATAATTAAAGTTTTATAAAAACATCTACCTAGGTATTTAGTATTATTTACTGAGGGTCCCTTTGGGAAATTCTCGATAAGCCTATCCCCGCCCATGCCTATATAGTATTCCAGTGGCGCCGAACTATATTTTAAAAGGGGGGGCAAGTAAAAAGTTATACGGACCACCACCTCCATTTACACTTGCTTCAGTGCTGCATATGTATACATTAATAGCTTATTAGGAACATAATTCATAAGTAGTTTGCTGGGGTACCCACGGACCCCCACGACCCCACCCACCGAAAAAAAGGGGGGGGGCGGTCGCCCCTCTTGGGTTATAGGTTCGGCGCCACTGTAGTATTCTGTCATTACGATCAATAAAAAAATTTCAATTTAATGATAATGTTCTATAACTGGAATAATTGGGTACTTTAATGAAAGGACATGTTTTTTTAATAGTAGTGAAAGTGGATAAATATGGGTATGTAAATCGATGATGATAGAACAATAACCTTTAATTTTATACATTTTATTAAAAAACAAAACAAACATAATATTTGATTAGGTCTTTTATGTGTATATTATACATTATTAACTTCAATAATAATAAAAAATATATTACATATTAGGTGTATAAAATATATTATGTGAGCATATAGTTGAAACTTCTGTCACTTTGTAAATAACATTAAATATTACCTGTACGGACAGATAGTTTTATTTAAGACTGTCAGTGCAATTTCTGGAGTTCAGTACTATTTATAAAAAAATAATAAATTTGTTGTGTATATTGTGAATATAATTTGTTTTCTTTAAGTACAATTAATTATTTAACAACAACAAGGTATCAATCTAGTCACAGGGCACAAAATATAATTGTGACACCATAAATGTATATTATTTATAAAAACGATATTCGTTCAATGAAATAAAAAATAGTTAAAATAAAATAAATATGAAGTATAAAAATACTTCAAAAAAAAAAAAAAAAAATACAAATACAAATAATAACAATAATTTTATAAAACACTATTACATATTTAAAAATGTAGGATCACTGAAATTTTCAAATTTGCATAATACACAAATAAAAAAAAAAATTATAGAGATAATTAAATTGAAAAATACAATATAAATCCATATAATGCAACTAACAATTTCTATATTAGGTACACAAATTACTAACTGTTTGAATACTGTTAATAGATTATACGATAAGTTACAAGTTTCAAATAATTGTATCGGCAAAATGCAAAGTGTCCCAATGACTAGTTTTGTATTCTACTAATACACACTTATCTCTTAAACCAATAATTATCATTTGAAAACTGCTTATATTATTTATAAATGACAATTTCAGTTTAATGTTTGCATTTCTTTGGCTTAATATTAAATATTTAAAATATGTTCGATTAAAATTCGTAAGTCTAATCTGAGAAAACGAATATATAATGTATAGGCCAAGAAGTTCAGATCCTCCATCTAAATTCCAATCAGTAATAAATCAACAATCAAAAATATGTTAAAAATTTTTTTTTTTAGTTATAAAATAAATAAAAATAATTAGGTATATTGTATACAGAAATAGAATGATTTTTAAAATTGCACATTGTAAAAACATTACATAACAGAACTTATGATTTTATTAGCAAATAAGTCTTTATAATTAAACTGATGATTGTAACTTGTAAGTCACACATAAATGAATTATTATAAATGTATATACACTATAAAAATTCAACTGATAGCCATTCTAAACTACCCTGATGATGAATTCAACCCAATAATAATAAAAAAAATGTTCTATAAAAAATATATTGCCATTGCTAATAAGCAACTTAAAAATGTTGTTCTAACAGTTATATAAAATCATAATACTAACATCTTAATTACAATCCTTTAATATTACATTTTGGAATGATTATTATTTTATATTTTTTATATTTATCTCTAGTGTTATAGTCATATCACATGTGATCATTGGAGGGGTAATGTTACTGTAACATCGATTTGCATTTGGTAGAAGGTAACTCCTGTAATTTGAATATAATGTTCAGAATCCACATTAATCCACTCCAGCAAAACCTTGTGAGCCTTCAATTGCTTTAATTAATTTGTTTCTCAGTTCATGATAGCTTTCATATGGTGGAAGATCCAATCTATTAAAACTATATAAAAAAACCAATTAAATTTGACACAAACACATTAAATAATTTCAGTTCATACCAGGTGTGTGCCCTGGGATAATTTTCTTTGGTGCCCCATCTTTCAATTGTAAACAATTGTGGTCCATTACTTCCATATAACTCTTTGAATCCATTCATTGGAACCCTAGATGTGCCCGTTACAAACTGCAAAAGTCTTGATCTCATTTCATTATTAAATGATAAAACGCCCTATAACAAATGTTTAAATAATTTATACATTTTAATCACTGATTTTACAAATTAACATTTGACTATATTACAAACAATATAATTTTATATTTCCTTAAAATAGTTAATTAGCTTCTAGTATAGTAGTATAATGTATTATAAAAACCATTTCAAGATAGTATATAAAAAAACGATATATTAAAAAAGAATTTCAAAGGTCCCAGCCATTCCCCATTTACTGTAATTATTAAAAAACACATACTGATTTACAATATTTTTTATTCACGCATTGCATACTTTGATGGTATCTCACCAATAAACTTTTCTAAATACGCCCCTGTACAGAGGCGTTATTGACATTCACACAGATTGGATACCCGAACAGATAGTGCAGTTTAATCAGCTTACATAATATAATCTGTTCATAGCACAAGTAAAATCATATAAATGTAAACATTGTTATGGGGCAACAAAACAGAAAGTAAATGATTATACTCATATCATGTGAGCTACAAAAGTATAAATAGTAAAATAGTAAGGCTCAGAAAGAATTGAAAAATAAAAGAAATGGAAAAGCCAACATCACACCATTTTATGTATGGAGATAGTACACTGTCATATAAGAAAAAATAATTCTATTTTATATTAAATCTCTCAAGAAAATAAAATAATAGTATAAATGGTTATGATACAAATTATTAGGAAAAAGTTTAAAAAACTACTATTTTGTTCAAACTTTAAGTAATAAAAATGTTGAACAAATGTTATTTTTCAATAACAATGGTTTAGCACAAACAATTTTTTATTTTAATACTAATTAGTAATTACTACGATTTAGTTCATGCTTGTTGTGAATAATCATGTATATAATACATCCAAGTTGCAATGTGACATTTATGGTCACACCTATGGCCAGTCTTGTAAAGTATTCGAATAAATGTATTCGAATAAAAGTATTTGAATACTTTTTTTGTATTTGAATACTATTCTAAATAGATTAAAAAAAATATATTCGAATACGTATTCTGAATATCTTTTTTTAGTATTTTTATTTTATATTTAAATACTAAATTTGAAAAAAAAAAATTTTGTGTTTATAAATTATAATCCTGGGTATTGCCGTAGTGGGCATTAAAAACATAAAACATAGTATTAGCCATAGACATTATACTAGTTGAGTTGATGTGCGGTGTACTACCTACCAGCGTTGTCACGTTTATACTTTATACGCCGGAATTGCATACATACTCAAGCATTGTTTCTCAAAGTGAGTAGAACAATTAAAATGTTATGAGGTTTTTAGGTGAATTTGATCAATTAATCCTAAATTTATTTGTAAATGCAACACTTCCATTCAGTCTAGTTGAACAAAATGATTTTAAATTACTTTGCCAAAAAGAATTTCCTAGTCGTACACATTGCTTTCACGACCAACCCTGATGTGTAGATTGAATGCAGCATTTGATCATCGTATATGTAATTTAATTAAAGATATGTCTAGTGTTAAATACCTTACAACTACAGCTGATTGTTGGAGCATTTTTAAAAGGTATAGTTATACATTTTTTATTATTAAGATTACTAAATTCTAAAATGTTATTTTCTAGTAAGTTTTATAAATTATAATATAACTTTAATATAGATCATACATTGGTATTACATGTCACTGGATTGATGAAGAAAACTTAAGTAGGAAATCTGTTTTTTTGACAGTTAAAAGATTGGATGGGTGACATACATTTGATGTGCTAGCTGGTGCAATGGAATCAGTTTATATACAATTTGAGATTCTAAACAAAATATCTTTTACAACAACTGACAATGGGTCTAATTTTGTTAAAAGTTTCAAGTAATTTATAAAATGTAACAAAATGTAAATTTTTTTCTTATTACTTTATAGTTTATTAATTATTAGTATATAATTATTATGTAGAATATAATAAAGAAAAGTTATAATAAATGAATGTGTCTACTCACTACTGTCTATGACTTAAACATATGAAAAAAGTGTATTAAAAAAAATAGTATTCTCAAAGTATTCGAATATTTTTTTGAGTATTCCAGAATATATTCTAAATATATTTTGTGAAAATTATTCAAATACGTATTCTGAATACCTTTTTAACCGTTTATTCGAATACGTATTCCGAATACAAAATAAAAGTATTCTTTACAAGACTGCGGCTATGGCTATAAAACACAGTCAGTCCGTGGACCCCGAGTAATCAATTACGGACCCCTAGGGCCTAGGGGTCCATGAAGCACCGATTAAGAACCCCCATGAATCATGGGCAGTAATAGAGCATATCCAGAGAAAATTCTTACTTAACTTCAAACTTGGTATTTTCACTACAGATCAATAGCACCATAACACAATTACTTGATGATAACATTCCCCACAACTACACTTCTGTCCAACAGCATCTAATCTAGAACTTACTTGACTCCTCAATAAGGAGTCCTTATTGACCGAAGGTCCCTCTTCTTTCTTTCCTTCCTAACCTTATATCTAATTATATTGGCTAAAATTAACATATAAGTTCCTGCTTAGGTGACCAGAAGTGACAATTCACTTTTTTGTGTTTCTTTCACCTCTTCTATCTTCCTCTAAAACATCCCTATTCGTCATTATAAAACTTGCAAATAAAAATATTTATTAATTTTTATATGTAATATTTTCATTTATAGAAATGTATAACTTAGTGTGAATGTATAATAGTATTAAATGTACATACTCTCCAAAACCATTGAATGACAATATTGTTGGGTGAATAATCTCCTTTGTAATGAGTATTTTCTTTCCAGTCTTTAACATCAATATTTTGAATACCACACATTAAAAGTTCCATTTCATTTTCATCAAAAATTTTAATATAACTTAAAGGTACTATGGAACCAAAACCCTGTAGGAAAGCATTCATTTGTTCTTGTATACGGGATACAAATCTCCATTGAATCACTAAACTAAATGTAATAAACAAATTATACATAAATATTTCATAGATTTTATTCAATATTTTGTACCGATTATATAATATTTTAAATATTATCAAATATGTTGAATTCAATAAATATTGTATATAAACTAACCTTATATATTCATCTTTATTTTCTTGTGTTAGGTGAATATTTGCACCATCAGGTTTCAATTCTCTATGAGATGTATGCCCTAGACTATCCTCATCAAGTGAAAATGTTAAATCTAATTCAGAAGGGTCATTTTCTTTAATCCATAAAAGTGAATTATAATATTCTGAGTCCACGCTTTCCATATCTTTCAATTCAATGGGCTTTTCCAACATCATTTTATAAAAAGGCCGAATGAAGAATGCTACAGAAATTAATAAATGTATAAATATTTATTTAACATGTAAGTTTAAAAAAACTGCATCTATGTAATAATTACCATCTAATAGTTTGCCATGATACACAGCCATACCAGCTACAGTCCCAATAAATTTAAAATAATGAAGATGTTCTTCATTACATAATCCTGACATAGCATTAATTTGTAATGTATAATTATCCATAGCAGAGTATTCAAAAAGGCCATAATATGGATTGAACATTTCTTTAGACAACAAGAAAAACCATTCTCTAGCTAGACCACCATAATCAAGGCCAACTTCTTGTTCAAATTCAACCCATAATTTTGCTCTTAATTTATCTGGGTGCATGGAGTTAATAATTCGGAATGAATCTTCAAGTATATTTGATCGCCTTACTTTAATCTCCATTTTAGCAGGTGGCCCATGAGCCTAATAATTACAGTATGGATTAATAAAATATTTATGCTGATATTGATATCTTGAAAAGTGGAAATCATGAGAAATGAAAAAAAAGTATTTAGCTTCCAAAAACAAATTCAAGATATCAAATAAAATGGTGAAATACTGTCCGGATATAAATAAATTTGTCAAAAGACTTAAGTTAAACTTACCATTTTACTCAGTCTTGTTTTGAGAGACTCATACTTCCGTTTATAATCTCGAGAATAAGGTAATGCCTTCAAATAGAAATGTTTTTATAAATTTTTTGCTAAATTATATATAATAAAATTAAACTTACAGGACCAGCGATTTTTGGATTATTTAATCTAGGATCTTCCCATTGCGTTGTTCTTGTATCTAAATAAAAATATTTAAATAAATTAGTATCATTTACAAACTGTTTCAAATTAAAATCCAGCGACATGGTAATGTCGCAAGCTAAGTACAAAAAAAGAAGGCGAAGTACTCGACCGTGTATACATACAGAAACCTTAACAATGAAATAAATGTAGGATAAATCCCTAGCTCTAGTTATGACTAAAAAGTATCATATTTTCAAAACAACTATGCCAATCTAACCGATTTGTAAAAGTACACTAACCTATTTTAAACAAATATATAAACATAATTTAACCTAATAATTACCACATTAAAAAGATTATTATTTAAAAATAAATATTTTGTCAGCAATATTTGTACATAAGCAACTATCACTTTAGACAAAATCTTTGCATTCAAAAAACCTGTGTGTAAATATTATACTCAAATTTAAAAATCTTCAATTATTTTCGAAATGTTAGAAGTATTGAGAAAATTGAAAAAATAGCTTAACAAAGAACTAATCATCCAGTGGCTAAATAGAACTATTTGAAACACTCTTGCCATAAAGTTTGTAAGCCCTTTAAAAAAGAAATCAATTTTTAATTTAAGATTTTAATAATAGTATTCTTACTATGATCAATAAAAAATATTCTTCCATCTGCATGAACTCTTTCTTCCCATCCTTCTGGTAAAGGTTCCAATTCATCATTGTAAGCTGATGTAGATACAACACGATCAGCCGCTGGTGGTTGGCTTTGATTAGGCATAGAGCTTGCCCTACCTGTCCTAGGATCAACCCAAGTTGTAGCTCTTGTATTATGATCAATAAAAAAAGTTCGACCATTTGGGGCGACTTGCATAGACCATCCTTTCGGTAGACCATCAGATCCTTCGGGAATATCTTCTTGGACTACTACAGTAGTACTACTTTGTTCATTTGAATCAACCTGATCACTCTGAAACATTAACACAAATATAGTTTTAGCTTTATGTAATATACTAAAAACAATCATATAAATCTAAAAAAATTGAGTACAATACAATTTTACATAGAAAGTAAACACGTAAGTAATTATTATTTCTACAAGTTTTCAAGTAATATGGAAGTACAACCATACATCAGGCATACCTGGTTTTGATCAGCTGTTGCTGATATACTGGAAAGCCGACGATCTATGTTAGTAAGTGGATCTGACTCTTCATATCCTTCATCGCTCTCATCATCAGCATCGCTTTGAACGGCCTTTTAACATGCAATATATACAATGGCAACATAGTAGCATGCATTTTAAATAGACAGTTTAAAATAAACTATTACAAAAAACTATTTTTGTGTTATTAATAATATTAATCGTAAGACATTCATGAATGGATTTAAAATAAATTAAACAACTATTTTGTATGTTTTAATAAAAATTGTGTAAATTTAGTTTTAGTATTTTTCGGGTTATGAGCTCTACTAATGATTTTAATTATTTGAATATTTAAGGTATACGTTTTCTTCTACATCATAAATGAAACTTAATTCTTTCAACATTCAAAAAAAAAGTTAAACAGATCCTAAAATGTAGTATAACGTCAGAATTCCTACTCCAGGAGGTAATCAAATAAGTTGTTTTTATTCTAAATACCATCTATATGGGTCAAGAACAAAACAACAACAGGTGAAAACTGCAAAAAAAGTTTTAAAGAAATTGAAGCAAAAAGTGAGGTTTAGAAGTTTGTAATAATAGTAAACATTACTATCTTGAGCATAAGTAAAATTAGTTCCAAACCACAAAGACTCAATAGTCTCAATATTTTATTATCATTTGTACAGTATATTTTATATTCACATTGGAGGATATAGATGAGATAACATGCTACTTAAAAATAAAAATACATTTTAAATAATGATCTCGATAATTACTTTTACCTTTTTCCGATTAGGATCACCTTTATCAGTTTCTGGAGTATCTACACTGATATGATATCTTCTTTCAAACTCTGTAGCTGCTAATGCCAAGTTTTGAATTGTATTGACATCAGGTAGATCCCTAAAATAATAAAACAAAGTTAACTGCATATCATTCAATATTCATATATTTATAAATACTGACTTTTAAAAATTATATTTTTACAATATTTAAAACACAGAATAAATATAGAAATAACTTGCAAAAGATATATTATTTTTAGTAAACTTTGATGATGAGTAAATTGGTATTTCGTTACTCAGCCATCATCAAACATACTAACATTCTATACACATATTGTCAATATTAAACTCACGTTATTGTTGGTCTTTCCCACTGAGTAGATCTAGCCAAATGATTTACGTAATAAGTTCTCCCATTAGCATCTTGTCGTTCTTCCCAACCAGAAGGTAACACCCCTTGTGGCTCAATAACATTTGGTGTATAAGACTAATAAAATATTTGTAATTATTAATAGAACACAAATATATTCAATTAATTTCTTACAGAAGGTGTGTGAGAAATATTTAAAACTTCAGGATTTTCGATCATTTCCCATTCGCCATCTGCAGATAGGCGACCGGAAGTTCCAGGTTCATGTTCTGGAACGTAAGCCAAATATAACTCAAGATAACCCTTTACTCTTGATCTTGCACTAAAAAATGTATAAAAAATATTTAAACTCAAGTTATAAAGGTTTAAATTAAAATTCTCTTAATAAAGTTTAACTCATCAAACCTTCTAGGTTTTAATAAATATTGAAGACTGTATATATTTCTGCCAATAATTTCTTTTGGAACATTATTCAATGGTACTTCAACCATTCCTAGAAAATCATCTCTTGTGAGCCGATTTTCATCAAATACTTGCAGGACTAATTTATGTTCGTGAGGACGGACCTGAAATATGTCGATGAAATTAAATATTACAACTTCTATTTTATACAAATGTTAACTAAGTGGTAATTTTAAAATAAAAACAACAATGACAAATGGCAGGTTTAAATACTATTTTAAATATTTTTTAATGTCATACACTTCAATACTTTAGATCAGCGATTCTAAAACTTTTGTAGAACATAGACCCCTAATAAAGGCTTTTAAAAATTGCGTACCCTTTTACAAATATTCTACCAAATATCTTTTTCCTTTCAAAAAATAACTCATATTATTATCATAATTTAATATCAATATTCTAATATTGATAACGGCACTAATTTCTGACATGACTAAGAGTATCGAGGACCCCCAAAGGGGCCGCAGACCACAGTTTAAGAACCACTGCTTTAGATCAAGTCTCCAATTAACAGTTCCCGTTTTTACTAGCATTTATACTACACTTTACTGTTTTATATTAATTTCTAAAACAAAATATATTTTTTTAAATAATTATTTCTACATAAACATGGCTTAACAGTGAAGACATGTTATAATAACATATACATATACATGTTATAATGATATGTTTATAACAAAGTTAAAATTAATTATTTTTTTTTTTTTTTTTTGTAATTAAAATATTTATTCAATCTGTTTCAATACATGAACAATAAGAACAATTGATGAAAGTAAAAATAAAATAAAATAAAAATAAATGACAGATTATCCCGAATGTAGAGGCCTCCCAGCGGAGGTACTACGACATGAGTAAAAATTAATTATTTAAATTGCAAAAAATCATATTGAAATATACAATTATAGAAAAAATTAAAAATTAAAAAAATTATATAGGAACACTATCAAATTATATCTATGTTGTTTTTAAAACATCACCGTATATTTAAACTTTAGATAAAATAAATTGGTATAAATAAGAAACTAAATTAAAATTATACTATTAATTTCAAAATACTTTGATCTAAAGGAGTTTTATATAAGACATTTTTTTTACATTCATTTGGTATAAATAATTATAATATTTAAAAATTGATCTATACGTCATGTCTTAACTAAAAGTTTATTTGATACTCATAGGTTTAAATGTTTAAATATAAAATTATTATTATGGACATTAGTTTCCTTAATAAGTGTCATTAATTAACCGCATTTATTTTAAAGCTTATAAATACAATAGTTTACTTACCCGAAACACAAACTCTTCATTCCAAACTGGATTTAAGGTCTGAAAATTAAAATATATGTGATATTTCAAAATGTGTCCTACTAATAAAATAAAATGTAAAACAAATAAACAAGTATAAATGTATAATCCAAGAAAATAAATTAATATAACTTCTATAAATCTACCCTTAAAAATCATAAGCTGCCTACTACTTTAAAAAATGTTTATAGAAATTCATAAATGATTATGTAACTCCTAATTCTCCTTTCTTTGTTTCCAAAAAACCTATCAAGATAAAATAAAACTGTTCAAGACTTTCTCTTACACTCGGTTATTAGTGACTAAAATTGTTAAATTTTGGATGTACCTATTATAAAATTTCAAAATTTAATAAAAAGAAACCTTTGTGTGGCATCATTATCAAATTTATCAACTTAATAAAATTACTTCAACTAGATGAGCTAGAATTTCTAGAAAATGTATTGTTCAACAGAACCTTACCCAGTCTAGATCTTTAATTTATTTTATTTTAACATTTACAATCATAATATTTTATGCAATCATTATACAAATAACAACAAATATTACTATATTTACCTTCTTTTTAGTTTTAGTTAAAACTGAGTCTATTGCAACATTTCCAACAATAGTGTTCAATTCAATTCTTACATAAGGGTCACTACAAGAACATGTATAAATATCATTTAAGTAAACATAGATACTATTACATTTAACAATTATAAAGTATAACATGTATCATTTACCTTGCACCAAATATATCTTTCTTTGCAAGTGAATGACCAGCAACCACTCTTAATCTCAGTAGTGGATCTTGATTCTAAAATATAGATAATTAATTGTTAAATATTTAAATACTAATACAGAATATTTGTAATAATAACATACATTTTTATTTAGCCTCGTAAATACACTATATTATAATACAATGCTTAAAATAGCTAGTAATTAGTCTAGGCTCCATATTTACAATAAAAATCATGGTAACCATTAGATTAGATTAGTACATAAAATGTGGGTAATAGTTAGTCAAATAACTCTTGCAAACACACAAGAAAGTTAGCCTAACTATAGCTGATTGAGTATAGGATTATTCATTCACACTTTACAAAATTACATCTAATCAACAAGGAATGTATTGAGTATTTAAGTATATTCCTCGCTGAGAACTGAGAAATAGTTACATAAATAAAATACAACCGCATATATTTCAGATAATTCACCAACCAAAGAAACACATACCTATTTAATTTATTACTAACAGAAATACTCACTCTGCATTAATAACAGATCTGAAAACTATTAGAGTTCCCAAAGGCAGTATCTCATTAGAAAAGGGCATATAAATTAAAATAATTATAGGGTTGAACTCCGGATGAAACTTCTTCAAGGTAAATCACATTAATATGTAAATTAATATAATGGTTAGTATTTAACTTATTTACATCATCAGGTGATTGTATTTCTTTATATAAAAAAATTGTAAGCCTATGTTTTTCATGCACATATGGATTTCGCATAAAAATAATGATAGTAATAATACAATACCGTGTACTCTCGGTAACTCGAAGCTCACGGGGAAAAAGAAATTTGACTTACTCAAAATGTTGAGTTATCAAAATCTTCATGTGTTATTGTTATTTGAAGGGTGAATTTATTTGTTCGAGATGTCGAGAATTTCGATTTACCAAGAGTACACTGTATCTATAATCTATATTATTATTAATATACAGGATCTTCCAAATTTTGTATGATAAAAATGGTTAACATTATGTTGGTTGTTAACAGATTTATAAACTAATAAAATCCCATTTAATTTTTCAGTAGACGGTTAAAAAATAAAAAAAATCAGATAGAGAAAGAACATAACTTATAAACTAGTTTGGGGAGTTTTTTCATAGCACACAGAGTTTTTGCCACATTTACCCGATCATTATCTACTGCATTTTAATTGTTATGTTTCAGAGTAGGATCTATTGACTATTTTGTATACATTAGTGTTTATTCTCCTATATTTTTGATCTTTTTGAACACCTCCGAGTAATTTTGGTTTCATCGATGGATTGATCATGAAATGTATTTATATTGTGACTTGTGAATATTAAATTAGAATGGACTAAGTTATATTGTTTTAATAACTGTTTACTGTATGCACGGACTAAGATATACAGGACTGGACACGACAAGGTTGGAGGGTGTGGGGGGGTTGACTACGAAATGTTTTACAACAGGCAGTGTTCGGGGGGATATTTTCCTTTTAGCATTACTAGCGCCGTCCTAGTGGATACTTATGGAACTAGAACACATCATACAAATTTCTAGTTCCATAAGTATCCACTAAGACGGCGCTAGTAATGCTAAAAGGAAAATATCCCCCCGAACTCCGCCTGTTGTAAAACATTTCGTAACCACAATATTCATCTCGTGTCCAGTCCTGTATATCTTAGTCCGTGACTGTATGATATTTATCATTATCCAAAATATTATCTTTAAAACATCAAGTATTTTGATAGTCAACATTGATTAAATGAAATTATATCCAAATCACCAAGTAATAGTGATGTAATAGGTAGGTATATCTAATAGACATGTAAAATTTAGAAAAGGTGATTTGCTCTTTTTGAACAGAATGTTCACACTATATATTATATTATAGGTAGTTTATAATGATGTTTATGTTCTCTTTAAACTAATATAATGTGACAGGTACATTTTAAATTACGACAATAAATGAAATAGATAAGTACCTACAAAGAATTACTTATATGTCTTTAAATCTTTAAATGAAACAAGTATAGGTAATATTATATATTATTTAAAAACATTTATGTGTTTTATTTGACATAATTCTCTGACTGATCAATATTTAAGACTTCAATATATCTGGTAGGCAACTACTTAAATTTTAAATGAATATAAAGAAACAAGTGTTATGATTTGGATGAACTTTTTTTGTTAGTTGAATACCTACATTTTTTTTTAAAGGGCGGTAGATTTATCTCATTAGTAATCATTAATCATTACATTATTTTATGTAATGATTAATTACTAATATATTTTAAATACCTAATGTTGTATACCTACTTGTATACCTACATTGAAACTACTATAATTTGTTGTTTTAATTCAAAAAAAAAACTCACGGTTAGTGTCGATTCCATTTTCCAATATCGGTACAACCTAATATTTTGAGATCGCACTAAAATCACTGGTGTAAATTGTCATTGATACATCGACGCATATTTGCAATTAACAACTATTATCCTATGGGCTATGACTATTATTTTGCGGAAATATCTGAATATGTGACAAATTAAAGAGTAAAGTAAAATTGATGATAGCCTGATATAAAAAAAAAAAAAAACACTGGACAATGACCATTGGACGAGGGTCACCATATGTTTTCCAGTCTTTTCAAATCATCGACTCAAAATATCGTATATTATTAATTATTCGTATCGTATATTTATGATCTATCAGCTAAGGTGGTGGCACCTTGCACGGAAATAATCTCATAAAGAGAATAATAATTTAATTAGTAAATTAGTAATAAATGAGTAATATATAATAATATAATATTATTACCTATAATATTGTATTATTTATAATAATATATTCCAGATTTATAGATTTATGGCCGAGTGGACTGCGGTCTGTGGCCACTACAGTTTTGTTATTATTTAATGATAAATAAAAAACAAACTGTATACAATTTAAATTGGCACACATCTATGATCTATATAAATACCTACCTACTGGCTATGTTCTATGTATAATATGCAACTTTATTTTAGATTCTGAGCTGAGCAACACAGATATTTATATACCTATCTGTGCGGAGCAATGAATATATAATGATAAATGATTCAACAATCATGTGTGTTTCTTATTTGTCCATCGTCTATGATCTAAGGGGGGGACCCGGACAGTAAAAATGTAAAAATGCTTCGATTTTCAACTTTGAGAATGGGGTTTCTGGTAGCAAATTAGATCTATTTGGTTCTTTGATTCAGAAACAATCTCCAAAAATTCCAACTAATAAAATAACCAGGTGCAACCAAAAAAAAATTATGGAAAATCAGAAATCTTCACTCAAAACCAATTTTGGGGACGAATGCAGTTTAGCAACCAAGTGATTTTTAGGAATTTTTTTTCAAAATGTTTGTTTTAGCATGCTCAATTTAAAGTACTTTCAAAAAAAGTGTCTCAAACTTAATTTGGAAGTTATGGTCAAAAAACTTCAAAATACTCAAATTTTTTTTTTGGAAATGTCAAATTTTAGTATTTAGGTATATGCTCAATATTTTGGTGGAATCATAATTTACCTAAAGTTCTTACTTTTTATGTTATTATTAATAAGCCACGTAAAACTGAACTATATATTATATAGTTATTTCAAACATTTGCAAATGAAAGTAACTCAAAGTTGACTTTTTTTTCTTTCGGTGTGTTATAACATAAAGAAGTTTTTGCCTTTTGGTGATACCAGAACTGATATATACTTTTTGGTTTGGAAGAAATAGGTTAAAATAATAACCAATACAAAAGCAAAATGAACAGATAATATGTAACATGTATTTTATAATATATCAATATGAAGTATACCTATCTATATCCTCGGAATGGTGGATATCGGGGGGGGGGGCTTTTCACCACCACATACAGACCACCCCATGGGAGAGGTTGAACGTCATTCCCTCTGTGGATTTGAAATTCGGCCCCCCTCAGAACTAGTATATATCCGCCACTGTATCCTCGTCATCAGATACGTCGGACCCATAATAACATTTTGGTATTTTTGTGGTTCTTATAACTATTACCTACCGGCTAACAAAAAAATTCCACAACAACAGGAAAGGAACGAGAAAGATACACTTTTTGTCCATAAATATATAAAACTTACAATCGTATTTAAATTTTAAAGATAAGTGCGACTTGTGGAAAAATGTCCTTATGAATAAATAAACATCACATTTTGCCTTTGGAAAAATACAGGTTATTTAATATAGTATTTATTTTAAGGAGGTCAAAAGTAAATTACTTTAAGTAATTTTAAAAAAAGGGGGGAAAGGCCGCCTCTGGGTCACCTGGAGAATATGGTAAAATTAATAGAGCGGTTACAAGTGTATAATGTCAAATTATTGTTATAAAATAACATAGCTAATTATCGACATCTCCACACATATCCGTCCAAGCAATTTACTAAAAATATATTTATGAATAAAATACATCATCTATATGGCTATATCTGTACATTTTGATTTTTTATTGGTTATTACTTTAACATATTTCTTTCAAACCAAAAAATAAATTAGTTCAGATTTCACCAAAAACTGTATTATTACACAAAAAAATCAACTTTGAGTTACTTAATAACCCTGATAGCATTTTGTAATGATAATATTATAATAATATTAAAATCACGAATAATAATATAATAATAATAATAATATTTTTAGTCAATCATTTGCTGTCTGGGAATATGCAAAAGTTTGAAATATCTAACTTTATAATACAGTTTTACGTTGTTTATTAACAATGTAATTATTAACAATACGTCAATACCTACTCTAAAAGTTTCATATATGATATATCTCCAAATCATATTTTTAAATTACAGCAAAATAACTGAAATCCTTATTTTTGGTTTTAATGTGTAATTTCATCAAAATTAGAATTTAAAATATCTGTAAAAAATAACTATTTATATATTTTTGAGATTTTTTGGTTACAGTAGGAGTAGGTATGAATTATTTATTAGAATCATTGTTTTAAATTTTCAATTCTTAGTTATAAAAATAGAACATTTTATAATTTTTTAATGACATTGATTAATCATTTTCAAGATTTTGATATTTGTATTTTGTCAACATTTAAAATTTAAATGATTATAAAAAAAATTGTGCCTATTTATTTTAATACGTGAGAAGTAAAGATTATTCCTGTATAATTTCCTCTTAATACGTATTACTGTAGTACTGACTGTACTGTATATCTATTAACGATAATTTCAAATGTATATTCACATATATTTTTAATATTTTTGTGAAACAGTAAAATACTAAATTGTGACTAGGTACTACATTATTTTTTGGCCAGTAAATTGTATTTATTTAGTAGTTCAGACTTCTGGACGACGTGGTCCACCAGGTGATCCTCTCCTATCTCAATTATTCCCTAACCAATAATGCCATTAAAATAAGTTTTATTCAGTTGATTAGGTACTTTTTAACTCTGACTGATTTGAACTAGAACAGCTTTAAACAGGAAGACTTAGACCGTTAATTTATTGTTAAGTAGTTTTGTTTTTTTTTTTAATACTACATGTAGGTACTATGGATGTAAGTGGAGAGCTCTAACCTACTTGGTATTAATTTATTGTATCATGTGTTGGCATTCGGCGCAACTAGGCGGGTGCAAAACGGTCTTTAGCACCCCCAAGTTCTAATTTAGGACCCCTTGTCTTTTTATGTCTAACTATCATTATTATATTGAAATACCATAAATTTTATGTTTATAAAATATTATAGCACCCAAACCCAACGTTTTAGAGGCCTAGTTGCGCCAATGTACAAACACGATATAAAAAAAAAGCAGGTAAGTGGATGTCGCTCTGCTGTACAGTAGGTTACAATTGGGTCATTGTATAATGGATTGTATTAAACTTGAATTCAATGATATTCTATCATTGTATAAGAAAAACGATTCTGAGCGGAGACGGTTTGTCAGTCGGGATATTTTATATTGTTAGATATTAATTAGTACCTATACCTATCATGTAAGTTGAATTAATATTATAATATTATTATTTCTATTTGTTTCTATGGTGATACACAAAGTGTTAGAAATTAAAATCCCATTTTTAGCGGTTTTTCGTAATTTTTCGGTGGTTTTTCCCTTGGAATTAAATAACTATTGATAAAATTGAAAATGACCTTTTTAAAGTACCATCTTGATCCAATTTTCTAAAAGATAAAGTACTATATGTTGAAATCGAAGCACTCCTTCTGGTGGAAATTTTTTATATAGGATATAAAAAAAAAAAAGAAAAAGAAATAAATACCAGTGTAAAACTACTAGCTTCCTCGCTCCTCTCAGAATCTAAAACAGTAAAACGTATGTACACAAACGAGTTATTCGTATTTATTATTATAATAAATAATTGATATGTGGCTGGCTTAATAGTATGCTGCCTAGTTATTAATTTTAAAATATATTTGTATATAATATAATATATCTGCAGTCTTTACTTTCGTTAATTATATTAATTATATTTTTCCGATTACTGTTCTAATTTTATTTTCTAAAAGTTTTCCTATAATCTTTTTAACTTTTTTAACTTTCTGTTAGTTCGTGAAGTATAAGTTCTTTTTAGTTTCAACATATAACAATTACACTTTTTAGATTCATAGACGCAAGCACATCAACAATGAATGCAATTATTAATGAAGGATTATTCTCTCAGGCCATAGATCTAAAAACTGAAATATTATTATACACCTACAATGTTTCAACACCCGTCAACTTTATAGAAAAGTTACTAAGTCTAAGTGACGGTAAGGAATTATTTTGAGATAACTCGATTATATAAGTCTTGGTCAGCGCATAAGTAAGCTAAACTATAGATGCCTAAACCAAGTAAGATGATTTTATATATTGAGTACTTTGTAAAATATATTTATTTAATATTCGTCCACTCACCGGACTCCAGTGGCATATTTACGGGGGGGAGCCATGGGGTCCGGAGCCCCCTCCCCATTGACTCGTGTCTCGTACATGTTAAATGTCGTGTTTTTACATAATTAAGAAAAACCAAATTGTAACATACGATAAGTACGAAGGATTTTGTAAAACATTTTCGAAGCTTCGCGGTTTTCAACATTTTCAATTAATATCGTGATTTTTTTTTACCATCAGTTTTTGGTACCAAAAATGGTTGAAAAATACCGAGTTAATATTTTAGTTAAAATATTTTGTAGTTTTGTACATTAATAATAAAAAGGTTGAAAAGTTACCTAAGATGAATGAAATAATGTATTTTAGGAAATATATTTATAATAGTTTTAAGTTATAACATAACTATATTCAGTGGCGTAGCGAGCATCTTTCAAACCCTAAGCAAATTAATATTGTAATGACCCACCCACTTCCACCCCCCCCC